TTTCTCTCTGAATGGAGGAGAGAGATGCATTGTATCTTAACTCCTGGCATAGAGGGGGAAAAAAATGTTTGTTAAAAAATAAAAATAAATATTAAAAAATAAAGAAACAATACCTAGATCAAGGTTTGATCTAGTTCCGTGCCAGGGTAAGTGTTTGTTTGGTTCAAACTGGTCAGGGTTTTTTTTTTTTTTTTTGTTTTTTTTTAACTGTTTGAAAAAAAAAGATAGATAAATATTAAAAAAAGAAAAAAAATACTTAGATCAAGGCTTGATCTAGTTCAGTTGCCAGGGTTAGTGTTTGGCTCAAGTTCTGGGTCAAAGGTCAGGATTTTTGTGTTTTGGCTCAAGTTTTTTTGGTGTCAGTGTGTTTTAGGTAAAAAGAAAAACAAAATGCGCACTACTGTTTCTGGGCTGTAGTACAGGTAGAAATAACATACACACACACACATATATATATATATATATATATATATATATATAGTATAATCGTCAAGAGCTGGAAAATTTATTTTGGGTTATTGTAGGTTATGGTAGTAACAAGAAGCACACAGCTAAATTAAAAAGATTTATTTATTTTTTTTTTTTACGATTTTGGGCAAGTTTTCCTTTTGTTAATAGAAAAAAATCAGGAGCTATTCATTACCATTTACCACCAAATGAAGGCCTAATTTGTCCTGAAAAAAACCCCTTGTTTTTTTTTTTTTTCTATGGGAGGCGAGAGATACATAGTATCTCTCTAACCTGGCATAGAGAGCAAAAAACAGTGTAAAAAAAAAAAAAAAAAAAGATTATTAAAAAAAGAAAAGAATACCTAGATCAAGGTTTGATCTTTCAGTTGCCAGGGTTAGTTTTGGGTCAGTGTCAAAGGTCGGGATTTAAAAAAAAAACAAAAAAAAAAACTGGTGTCCGTGCCAGTGTGTTTTAGGTAAAAAAAAAAAAAAAAAAAAGAAAAAAAAATGCGCACTATTGGGGCTGTACTACGGGTACAAACAACAAATAACATACACATATATTATCGCTGCGATCGTCAAGAGCTGGAGAATTTGTTTTGGGTTGTTATTTGGTGGTAGGTTATGGTAGTAACAAGAAACACACAGCTCAATAAAAAAAATGATTTTTTTTTTACTATTTTGGACCATGTTTTCCTTTGAATAAAAAAAACAATCAGGAGCTATCCATTACCATTTACCACCAAATGAAAGCACATTTGTCCTGAAAAAAAAAAAGCAGTATAATTCACTGGGATGTACAAAGTAGTTGTGATGATATGTATGGTTTTACTAACACATGTCAAAGTTGTTTTAAAATTTTACTTGGGCTTTAAGATTTGTTTTACCCTTAGGCATGAAGGGTTAATATCCAGGTCTGACAACCTCCATTCCCAATGCCACCCCTATTCACTTCTGCGCTGGGGTTCTGGGTCTCATGGTGGCCTGCTTCAAGGCCATTTCCCATTCCCCAATTTCACTCCAGACTCCTTCAATCCAACACCCTCAAGACAAGGAACAAACAGATGCAATGCCTATCTCCTTTTTGGAGCCACTTCCCATCTACATGCATTCTTGCGATGGCTGCTTGGCATCTTCTAGGACTGTGTTAACAGTGGACCCTTTTTTTAAAGAAGAAATTCATACTTTATGGTTTACACCAGTGTTTCTCTTTAAAATTATGCACAATCTTGAGGCATGCGTTAAAATTATACACAATCTCGAGGTACCCCATTCTGAAATGTAGAAAACTAAACTAATAGTTTTATATATAACACAGCAACATCCACACAAGTAGGACACAGATCGCCAGAGGTGACTTATTCTTCCAAAGCAAATACACCTTTGCACACTGGTACTGACTAGTAACCCAATATTTATCTTCTCTGTTTCTCTCCCTCACTCAGCTAATGTGACCCCAGTGCTGACAGAGGGGCAGGGGAGGGGCAAACAAGGATGCTGTCTAGGTGCCCTATGTTCTTTTTATCATCCAATCACTTTTTTTATTGTTAGGAAGAATGAAAAATTGTAGTGGTGCACAAGGAAAACCTGTGGCTTTGTTTGTCTTAAAGGCAGGCTTAAGCCAAACTTAGACTAGCTTGTATAGAATTTTTGGGCAAATTGTAGACATTTTGTCAAGGGACCCCTGAAGAAACCTGGTTGAAAAAGGCTGGCTCTATATATACTGTGTGTGTGTGTGTGTGTGTATGTATGTATGTATGTATGTGTATGTATGTGTGTGTATATATATTATATATATATATATATATATATATACACACACACACACACACACACACCTGTAGTATTAATTTATTTTGATCAATTAACCACTTTCCCTCCGCCCTATAGCAGTTGTAGCAGGGTGGCATTCCTGTGCAAAATCACATAGATAAACATCATTTTGCACTTCCATCACATGAGGGTGTGCGCGCACCGCTGAAGGAAATCTTTAGTTGTGAAACGTTACAGCAAAAACGATCTGTAAGCCACGGAAAGCAGTTGCTCACCAGCACCTGTTGCGACAGGGGAACGTAATGAATTGTTTCTCTCTGCAGAGCTGAGAAATCATCATTTCCCCTAGTGAATGCACCATCTAATGTACACCAAGTACATAGCTAGGCACACACTTAACCCTTTGATCAAGCAGAATACATTTTGGTCTACATTTATGAAGACGTTTTATTTTTTAAAAATGTTTTATTGGATATGTTTTATAGCAAAAAAAATATATATTTTTTTTAAAATTGTCAGTCTTTTTTTTTTCCGTTTATAACAAATAAAGTAAAATCTGCAGAGGTGATCAAATACCAAAGGAAAGCTCAATATGTGGGGAAAAAAAGGACATAAATTTCATTTGGGTACAGCATTGCATGACTGTGCAATTGTTTAAAGTAATGCAGTGCTGCATTGCAAAAAATGGCCTGGTCATGGGAAATGGAAAGTAAATGAACAGAGGAGAAATCCAAATCAGATCAGATCAATATTTAGTGTGATCACTCCATGCCTTCAAAACCGCATCAGTTATTCTAGGTACATTTGCAAACCGTTTCTGAAAGAACTCAGCAGGTAGATTGTTCCAAACATCTTGGAGAACTTGGAGATTTTCTGTGGATTTAGGCTGCCTCACATTCTTTTGTCTCTTCATGTAATCCCTGTATGAGCCAGCCCATTACTTCTAGGACTACGGTTTCTTCTTTACTCTGAAGACAGTTCTTAATGACATTGACTGTATGTTTGGGGTTGTTGTCCTGCTGCAGAATACATTTGGGGCCAATTAAATGCCCCCCTGATGATATGGCTTGATGTTTGAGTATCTGCCTGTATTTCCCAGCATTGAGGACACCATTGATCCTGACCAAATCTCCAACTTAATTTGCAGAAATGCAGCCCCAAACTTACTGTTGGATGCAGACACTCATCATTGTACCACTCTCCAGTGCTTCCTGAACTAAATGCCTTTTGCTACAGCCAAATATTTCACATTTTGACTAATTAGTCCAGAACACCTGCTAATTTTCTGCACCTCAGCTCCTATGTTTTCATGTATAGGACATGGAAACAAAGCTATGTGACTCAACTATGTACAAAAACAGAAACTGTACACATTCTGGGAGTAGACAACTGGCTAGTGGATTTTCTAAGCCATCAATGCGTAAACTTGTGCAGTTGTCTATGCAAGTGTAATGTCCCAGATGCTCCACCCTTGCCAGATTGATCAGACAGCTTATGTCCAGGGCCTCTGCCCTTAAGGAAAAGATTCCGTCCTTTCCCATCAGAGCCCTTTTCCACCATCTGAGCAGTTGGTACCTACCTCCTGGGCTTTTCAGCTTCTGGCATCTTTGTCCCAGATTTGAAAGACCGCCATCTGGTTCTTTGTTCACATGTCTTCCATATTCTACCAGGTGGCTGTTTAGGCCTAAGCTGATGCCACAAGGTGGTTCAAGGCGTTATCTGGGTGTTTCGTGCAGGTTCCTCAAACTCTTGTGGGCCTATTGAGAGTTTTAGGTTGCTATGTTACCCAGTCCTCAGTTTTATTTGCTTGGGTATATCTGATGGCCAATGAATACCAGTTCTATGTCTACTACTGTATAAGTTAATGCAAAATTTGACTTGCTTGTAAATTCCTTCTCTTGAAGTACAGTGTTGGACACGAGCCTCTCCCCTTTTTGTCTTAATTTCTGTTTGTTGCTTGCAAAAAACTGGAACCTGAGAGTCGGTGGGGTTATAAAGGCATGTTGCTCAGTGAAGGCCACTGTGGGAGAGGACAGCAGGAGTCAGAATCTTGAAGCCAGGTTTCAGTATTGCTAGGGGGAAGCCCCAGCAAAATTGTTTGCATGTGTTCAATCACCTAAAGATAGCAGCATTTAACCCATGGTCTGTGAATTTCAGTTCTATACTATACTCCAAGATGCGGAATTGATAGGTGTCAAAATTTCAATTTTTTTTCTTTAATAAAAAAGGCAAACCTTTCATACATGGCAAACTAAATGTCATGAAGATAGGGTTTACATCTACTTGATGTTGAGTTTTTTGTTTTGACAAGTTATCTCCAAACTTTCCAAAGTGCCAGTTTACTGTCCTTCAGATTTTTGTGGGGTCGGATTGTGGCCAGTGGGGTAGATTATAGTAATGCCTCATCATTGCAATCAGTGGGAGGAATAGTGCCTCACCATTGGTGTAAGTGGTAGGAATAGTTGCCCCTATCATCAGATTACAAGGATGTGGAGCTCTGTCAGTGGATATTGGAGCCAGATACTTGTGAATTACCGGTGTAGATGGTGTTCCAGGCTTCTAAGGAAGGGCCCAGCTGAACGGATCAGATTAGGGGCATGCAGTGGAACCAGTGTTCCCTGTGAACATTTATTACCCCATGATATATTTTTGTGAAAAGCAATCAAAGGGAAATTTTATATTTTTTTTCTCTACATCTACAAAGTAATGAAAAGGAGCTGCTTTGAGCTGACTATAACAGCTGAATGATAAGTCTCGTCTGTGTCTTTATCATTTTAGCGAAGAGCTTGGAGAATTCATGGAGATGAAAGGTGCCAATACTCCTGGTATTCTTGTGTTAACGACCGGCCTTAGCAAGCCATTTATGCGTCTGGACAAGTACCCAACATTACTAAAAGAGTTGGAACGACACATGGAGGTAAAAAGTTTGTTTTTTCCCTTGGCATTACATTGAATGAAGAGTGATAAGTTGAACACGTTCTTTCTATTGCCTCGTTAATATGAATTATTGCAAATAAACATTTTAGATTTGGCTTCTGTAGTCAGCAACTCTGGGGTACTCCATCCCATTTTAACCAGACCTTCACTACTGTGCTGTGAATAGCAGAAGCATCAATCAGAGACCAAGTACATCACCATACTAAGTTAATCACTAGTATACAGGGCTCTATCTGAGTAATAATTGCAGTTTCTAAATCTAATGTTACATTTACGGTATTAGTGTTTGTTATGCTATAGCAGTTGTTTGAAACAACAGCACCCATTGTGATTTTTTGCTCACAAAATATTGGTCATTTTGATTAGAATTCATATCAAATTCTAACCATGTAATCATGAATCATAATATACATTATGAGGTTGATTTACTAAAGGCAAATATACTGTGCACTGCAATTGCACTTGCTCCAGGTATGTAAGGTATGTATGAGTAAGCTAAGTATGAGGTAAAGCTTTACTTTGCACAAAATACTCCAAACACATGCAAGGAAAATAAAGAAAACACAGATCTAGAGCAACTGCACTTGCAGTGCACAGTGTATTTGCCTTCAGTAAATCAACCCCTATGTACATTATGCATTAATGGAGGGTACTTAAAGCGTTTGTTAGGAGAATTTGTAATTGCTGCCTATTAAAGGCTGATGTTTGGTGGGGCACAGCCAATTGTTTTTTCTTCCTCCTTCCCCAAGGCTATGCTCCACTAAATCAAAATAAAACAGTGGACTTTTTCTTTTGTCAAGCCCTGTGACTGTGATCTCTCTTGCTCTCCTAAAACATCTCAAGGAAAGTGTGTGTGTATGTATGTGTGTGTTTATGTACAGTATGTAGATGTATAATCTATATACATAGACACACATTAACCACTTCATCTCCTGTACTAATAAACCCCTTATTGCCCAGAGGATTGTTGCACTTCAAGTGTTACTAAACCCATTACAGTAAAATCAGTCTGTACAGTGGGGCAAAAAAGTATTTAGTCAGCCACCAATTGTGCAAGTTCTCCCACTTAAAAAGATGAGAGAGGCCTCTAATTGGCATCATAGGTAGACCTCAACTATGAGAGACAAAATGAGAAAACAAATCCAGACAATCACATTGGCTGATTTGGAAAGAATTTATTTGCAAATTATGGTGGAAAATAAGTATTTGGTCAATATCAAAAGTTTATCTCAATACTTTGTTATATTTCCTACGTTGGCAATGACAGAGATCAAACGTTTCCTGTAAGTCTTCACAAGGTTGGCACACAATGTTGCTGGTATGTTGGCCCATTCCTCCATGCAGATCTCCTCTAGAGCAGTGATGTTTTGGGGCTGTCGCTGGGCAACACGGACTTTCAACTCCCTCCAAAGGTTTTCTATGGGGTTGAGATCTGGAGACTGGCTAGGCCACTCCAGGACCTTGAAATGCTTCTTACAAAGCCACTCCTTCGTTGCCCGGGCAGTATGTTTGGGATCATTGTCATGTTGGAAGACCCCAGCCACTTTTCATCTTCAATGCCCTTGCTGATGGAAGGAGGTTTGCACTCAAAATCTCACGATACATAGCCCCATTCATTCTGTCCTGTACATGGATCAGTCGTCCTGGTCCCTTTGCGAGAAACAGCCCCAAAGCATGATGTTGCCACCCCCATGCTTCATAGTAGACGTGGTGTTCTTTGGATGCAACTCAGCATTCTCCTCCAAACACGACGAGTTGTGTTTCTACCAAACAGTTCTATTTTGGTTTCATCTGACCATATGACATTCTCCCAATCCTCTTCTGGATCATCCAAATGCTCTCTAGCAAACTTCAGACGGGCCCGGACATGTACTGGCTTAAGCAGGGGGACACGTCTGGCACTGCAGGATCTGAGTCCCTGGCTGGCGGCGTAGTGTGTTACTGATGGTAGCCTTTGTTACGTTGGTCCCAGCTCTCTGCAGGTCATTCACTAGGTCCCCCGTGTGGTCCTGGGATTTTTGCTCACCGTTCTTGTGATCATTTTGACCCCACGAGGTGTGAGATCTTGTAAGGAGCCCCAGATCGAGGGAGATTATCAGTGGTCTTGTATGTCTTCCATTTTCTAATTATTGCTAATTATTGCTCCCACAGTTGATTTGTTCACACCAGTTCTTTTTAAGTGGGAGAACTTGCACAATTGGTGGCTGACTAAATACTTTTTTGCCCCACTGTATATGCTGTAAAGCATGCTTGTTATACTCACTGTGGAACCTAAGGGGTTAATCTCTGCACTGTTTAAAAGATGTTTAATCATCTCTTCTCTGATCCTCCCTTTCTTCCAGTGTCTCCCTCTTCTCTCCTGATAAGACGTGTTGTGTGGAGACACTGCACACTCTCAGTTTGGTGTGATTGCTAGAGAGGTTTTTTTTTTTTTCTTGGCAGAGTGCATGTGTTTAGCACAGGGTCAATCAGCACTGCCCAGACAGAGGTCAGGGGTATTACATCCTCCTAGAGAACCCCTCCAAGTTTTAACCAGTGCTCTGCTGAACACTGATAGAAGTCACAAGACTGCTGTAACTGCTGATGAGAAAAGGTATTTAGTAGTTTATATTTACTAAAATAATTGCATTCCCATTGTCTGTGTACTGTTGGAGACCAGATATAGTGAATGCAGGGTCCTGGGTTTAGTAACACTTTAAGCTAGGGACTCTAGGGACCTGTGTTTTAGCTATGACCTAATATGCTAACATATCATGTCATTTTTCTATATGATTGAGGTATTCTTTGGTGATCTTGTCTTCAAAAAGTTTTTATATTCTATATTTTCTAGGAAGAGGACACTAGAATTATGAAATTATGCTTTGTGTTTAATGTGTGGAAAATGGAAATGTTAAAGTTACATTCAGGCTTGCACATTGGCATTCTGACTATTCTACTAACACACACGTTTCCTCAAAAGGGGATACAAATCTGCCTCTTTTCCCTTGCTTCCTCCATAATGTAGTGTTAGGCATGCAAAAAATGCTTAATTTACTCTTTGAAAAAAAAAAAATGAGTATCTGGGTTGGCAAATACCTGTCTGTGTGTAAAGGAAACTTTGCTGGCCTCACCACTGCTTCATTACTGTACAATAAGGCAGTTAATAGGTGGGGTAACAGAGGTAGAAATAAGCCTTTTGGTGGCTGAATGATCTGCCCCAATGTAATAACACCACTGACCTTATCTGCTACACATGTGACCCTGTATGGACTTGCCTTACCAGATAAGCCTAGAATTGTCACCAGACACTGACTGGGGGCAGGAAGGTGGAGGAACAAAGTCTCTTTAATAGTTTATCAATATTATTAGGGATAAACTTGTTTTGAGATTTTGAGATTACATTGAAATTGAGTAACAAACCATTCTTGCAAATATTTTAAAGAAAATAATTTAATTCATAGGACTCTCTGTTTTTAGGATTATCACCCAGATAGGCCAGATATACAGAAATCCATGACTGCTTTCAAGAATCTATCGGTAAACAGTTTTTGTGTGAAATTTCTTTAATTTTGTGCATATGGCTGTTTGAAATCTTTTGAATATTCTGTTTTCTTAAGTCTTATATATACCGTGTGTGTGTGTACATGTACTGTGTGTGTGATAGTTATTTCTCACGTAAAATTCTCTGTCATTTGTAATTTTATATTTGAAACAGTGATTTAAACAACCAAGGGGATTTTATGGAAAAAAATCAGTGGTTTAAACAACCCAGAGCATTGATCAAAAAGACACAAAACTACTTCAGTGATCTCCACCTGCTTCTGGGTCCTGTGCTCAGTGGTTGCCTTGCTGCATTGTGAACCCAGAGGGTTGGCACGGGCGCCATTTAGAGAATGCTTTGCATGTCCTCAAAGACTCCAAAGTATTCTCTAAGTGCAGAGAGCGATGGCTGACCACCTGTGTTCAGAATTCAGGGCAGCTACTCTGCTTGGGACTTGGAAATTAGTGGAGATCACTGGAATAGCGGTGTCTACTACAGTCATTTCCAACTTCTAGACAAGATGTGTCAAACACAAGGTCTGCGGGCCAAATCTTCTTTCATGTGACTCTCTCGCACCTCTCCTGCTGCTGCAACCCTTACACACCCCCCCCCCCCCCCCACACACACACACCTTCTTCTACAGATCCTGTGTCTCTCTGTGCATCCACAACACCCCCTTGTCTCCACCTCCTCTGGTCCCATCATTCTGCAGACCCTGGCAGCTGCCTCCAGCCCTCCTGTGGTCCTCCTCCAGACCCTGCACTTGCACTCTGCTTCCCATTTCCACCCCCAGCTTTTTCCCAAAAGCAACACAAGGTAAGGGGACTGCACTGTGACGTAAGGAAGAGTGGGGGACTCTTGACTTGTGATGGTGGGGGTGCGGGGTGCTTTGCACATCTAATGTTAAAGATGCAGCCGGCCCTTTGAGGTCAACCATAATGCTGATGCAGCCTGTAATGAAATTGAGTTTGACAGCCATGTTTTAGAGGGATCCCACAGGTATGGTATATGCATAGTTAGATTGGTCCAAGCTGAAACAATGTAACTGTTCTTTCTTAAATTTAAAGTGGAAGTTCAGTTGAACCACAAACTATAGTTAAATCTGCCCCCACCCCCATTCTAAGGCTATTCTGTCTACCCTGCGAAAGAAAAGATCCGTATGTACTTACCTACTCTGAGGATGCTACGGTCGAATCACATATGCCGGCTTCAGTGTAGAGGAGGGACAGCCAACAATTGATGCCCCATAGTAATCCTATCGTTGACTTCTTTGCCCAGGCTTTGCAGCCTCTACACTGAAGCCATTGCGGGGACCTGATCAGGTGACTGGAGTGGCGTGCCCTCAGCATAGGTAAGTATAGAGATCCTTCCTTTACAGGATAGATATAATAGGCTTAGAATGGGGGTGGGAGTAGAATTTATTATAGTTAGTATTTAACTGAGCTTCCACCTTAATATTTAGTGGAACCTACTATAGCACAAATAAATGCTTCCTGTACATGCTAATGTGATTTTCATAGTGGTTAGGAAGTGTTTAGGCCATTTGATTAAAAAAAAGTGGTATGAAAGTCTTTGTTTTTAAAATCCGTTGACTGGTAGGGTTTTTCTAACAGAAGAGACCCTAGAGGTCTCTTCTGTCATAAATGATTCCCCTACCTGTCAGTGGGTAATGCAATCTGAGTCGCGCATGCGCAGCTCTGACTGCATTTATGGCCCGCTCTGTGTGCCGCGCCAAAGTGATTTCCTGCACAGGAGTGACGTTCATTCAAGCGGCTGAAGATTTGGAGCCCGGAAGGAAGACCGGGTTAACATGAAGGCACCGTGGACCACAGGGAGCCGTTATGGCCCAACACTGGACGGCTCCATCTGTAGGTACGTCTCCCACAGTGTACTAGTATGCAGTACCTACTAGTACATTATGACTCAAACCTACAGGGGTGGCACTTTTTTAGTCTCTTAATGAGGCTTTACTTCCACTTTAAGATGATGTATTTTTACATGTTTTTATTTAATGAGCTGCTTTAGTTGTTGCATAAGCATTTCAGTGGGATTGGTTCGGTTATTCTGAAATATGAAATTCTTTCTATCTGAGCCTGGAATTCAATGCTTCCAAAACATGTTGGGATTTATTGGAAGACCACACCTCAACCGACCAAGCCACACTATACTATTGGCAGTTATTTTGGTGTATCTTTGTGTAATAGGGAATACACATAATCCACTGGTAGTAAGCTATGTGTATGTCATTAATTAGATGTAATATTTAACATGTTTTTATAGACCTAAGGGTCTGTTTTATCGAAAAAAAACCTGTTTGTAAGATTGACATTGGTCTTTTAGACCATATGTTTTATTATTCTGCCTGAAAAGTCCCAGGGGGATATTTTTCTGTTTTTGTAACTGGAAAATTTCAGGATGTCGGCAGGATGAAATTATATCACCTGACCCGATACTCCTTTGTATTTAATCATGGCTGACTTTAAGCATTTCTGAAAATTTTGTAGTTTGTCCCAAAAGAAAGGCTTAGGACAGAGAGTCTCCTCTCATTAACATACAAGAAGCCCAGCTTCTAAATCTTAAACGCTTTGTTAGGCAGAGTTAAAATCTTGTTACAACTGATAATGGGATCTGCCAGCACAGTACAGACAGGGTTAATTATGGCAAGCAGACTAAAAAAAAAATGTCGCAAACTGTGAAACCACCATCTTCCCGGCTAAAGGACTGGACGCAAGAAAGGTATATATGCGTCTAAAAAAAAGTCTGTAAAAGTCCATAACAATCCATAAGAATCCTTGGGATAAAAAGTGTCCAACGTGTGAAGGGTTAATTCCTTTATAGGCACTCTGAACACCAGCTACAGACCCTTCTTCCAGGATCTTGGGTGTATCCAGCTAGCAAGAATTGCACAAAAAAAGCAGAGGGTGCAAACAATGTTAGTGCAATCAATTTAATAGGCACGAAAAACAAGTATCCACTCACATGGCAATATACATTATATTGCCAAAAGTATTGGGACACCTGCCTTTACGTGCACGTGAGCTTTAATGGCATCCTAGTCTTAGTCCATAGGGTTCAATATTGAGTTGGCCCACCCTTTGCAGCTATGACAGCTTCAACTCTTCTGTGAAGGCTTTCCACAAGGTTTAGGAGTGTCTATGGAATGTTTAACCATTCATCCAGAAGGCCTGGCTCGAAGTCTCCTCTTTAAGGCTCCGTTCACATATGAGTAGCATTTTTCACGCATATTTTTACCGCAGGTTTTACGTGTTTTCATACAACGTTTTTAGCTGTTTTTGAGTTTTGGCTCTTTTTTTTTTTTATTAGCCAATAGAGAAAAATATCATTTGTTGCTAGGTTTTTCGTCTTTAGATTTTTCTTGTTGTGATGATAATAATAAAAGAATAAAATATTAAATACCAAGTAAATAAAAATAATCAAATCCTATGTAATAATAAATAAAAATAATTAACCCCTAACCTTAATCCACTAACCCTTAAAGTATAATAAACAAGTTATTCTTATTATTAATAATAATAAAAAAAACTAAACTTGAACAAAAAAATTAATACAATGTAAAATACTCAAAAATAATCATAAATAAATGTAATAAATTATTAATAATTAACCCATAACCTTAACCTCCTAAAACCTAAAAAAGTTATAAAATAATTGTTATTGTATTTTTTATTTGGGTGTTTATTGTTATTAATAATACAAATTTATTTATTTTACATTTATTCATATATTACAATTTTTTTTCTTTACATAATTTCATTTGAGCAGAAAATCGTGCAAAACGTGCATGAAAGCTTACAAAAATATGCCAATCGCACGTTTCTGTTCTTTTCTTTGAGCTACAAAAGCAGCTCCAAAACTTTTTTGAGCTTCAGGCATTCTGCTTTACGGGACGTAGTGGAGACGTGAACCATCTCCATGAAGTAAAATTGATTTCTCCAACCCCCCCCCCCACCCCCCCCCCCCCCCGAGCGTTTTGGAGCCTCGAGCTCCGCACTACAAAATGCTCAAGTGTGAATGGGACTTAATTCATCTCAAAGATGTTCTATTGGGTTGAGGTCAGGACTCTGTGCAGGCCAGTCAAGTTCCTCCTCCCCAAACTCGCTCATCCATGTCTTTATGGGACCGTGCTTTGTGCACTGGTGCACAGTCATGTTGGAACAGGAAGGCACCATCCACAAACTGTTCCCACAAAGTTGGAATCATTAAATTGGCCAAAATGTCTTAGTTCCAGTGAAGGGAACTTTTAAGTCATCATACCAAGGGGCCAAGCCCAAACCCTGAAAAACAACTTCACACCATAAGCCCCACCAGCAAACTGTACACTTGGCACGAAGCAGTCAGGCAAGTACCGTTCTCCTGGCAACCACCAAACCAAGACAAGTCCATTGGATTGCCATACAGAGGAGTGTGATTTGTCACTCCAGAGAACACATCTCCACTGCTCTAGAGTCCAGTGGTGGCGTGCTTTACACCACTGTATCCGATGCTTTGCATTGCACTAGGTGATATAAGGCTTGGATGCAGCTGCTCGGCCATGGAAATCCATTCCATGAAGCTCTCTATGCACTGTTGTGTTAATCTAAAGGCCACATGAAGGTTGGAGGTCTTTAGCTATTGACTCTGCAGACAGTTGGCAACTTCTGTGCACTGTTCACTTCAGCATGCGCAGACCCCCATCTGTCTTTTTACGTGGCCTACCACTCCATGGCTGAGTTGCTGTTGTTCCCAGTTGCTTCCACTTTGTTGTAAAACCACTAACATTTGACTGTGGAATATTTAGTAGCAAGGAAATTTCATGGATGGACTTATTGCACAGGTGACAACCTATCACGGTACCATGCTTTCAATTCACTGAGCTCCTGAGATCGACCCATTCTTTCACAAATTTTTGTTGAAGCAGTCTGCATACCTGGGTGATTGATTGGAACACCTGAATTCAATGATTTGGAGGGGCGTCCCAATACTTTTGGCAATATAGTGTAGAATGTATCATGAAGGAGGTGTCCTTGGCAGATTGTTCCCAGGAAACCCGCAATCCGGAGATTAGCATCGGCACTCTGTGATGTGAAAAGCTAGTACTGGCAAATTTGCTTCAGAGGCTCACAATGGAGGAGATAGCTGTCTGGAGAAACTTAGTCTGACATCGCACATTGAAGGAAGGAGGATGGGCTGGCAATGCACTTCAAGACAATCTATCCTCCTTTCTTTAACCTGCTCGTATCTTTACAAGGTGGATTTAAATAGGTGCAGTGCTGACAGGTTGCCAAGCGATGTTGGTGTGGCGATCTCTTCTACTGTGCTATTTTATTCTGACAGGGGGACTGACTCCCCACTCACCCCACCTCTGCCAAAGCACACTGATCAGCACTTGCAGCCCTGCAAGCTCAGGTCAGATGCGTTTTTTTTTAGGTTGCACGTTTAACAAAAGCCTGCTGAACTGGCCAATTTTGGCCACTTTTCAACCTGTGTATAAGGCTACGAAGAAGGCTGTGTGTGTATTGGCTGAGATGACTTACCCATTTTGGCAAACTTGGTTTTGTCCCACTGTGGGAAGCTGCAAGGAGATGATCTGCCGCCATCTTTGTTAAAGGTGAGGGTGAACTTAGAGAGTTGTTTGTCAATGGAAGGCTGACGGTGGCTGCAGAGTTCCTGCATCGGCGATCAATGCGGGAGAAGCAGAGATATTACAGCAGGATGATTGAGAGGAGCAGTACTGCCAGTAGATGAGGAATTCCTTTTCTCTCCTTTGTTTTCAGTGATTATTTGGAGTTCTTTCACTAACCTTTTTCAACCTATGAATGTACAATGAATAGATCCAGGCCTAGATGCCTCCTATATCTTAGGCTCCATGCACACTGGGTAGTTTAATAATGCTGGTAGCATTATCTGTGTAAAGTCACATTAAAAATGTAAGTTTATAGCAATTTTTCATTAGTATTTAGTTGTGTTTTTCTGTGTTTTGCATTTTGTGTTTTTTTTTTAACTCAAAAAACACCCACAAACGGCGCTTTGCCGTGTTTTATCGCATTTTTTAGCGTTAGAGCAGTTTACAGCTAAACAACTCTAGAAACCCACTAGTTCTTTTTTTTTTTTTTTTTTTTTTCCCAGCTAAGAAAACACCCCCAAAAAACGCTGATTAAAGCCTATGGACACATAAGATAACATGCTGGGAAGTTTGCTAGCTGTAGAAAAACAAATGCCAAATGCCAAAAGCCAAAAACAGCAGCTGTAAAAACGTCCAGTGTGCATGAGGACTTGCTGCAAAGTATGCTTTCTGTTTTCCAATTTAATGGAATCACTCTTGAAAAGAAGGCTTGTTGACTACCTAAAAAACACACAATTTGCTGGACACAGAGCAGCATGGCTTTACTGAGGGAAGATCATGTTAGACTAATGTGATTGAATATCACTGATGTTTTGGTCCAGGATAGTGCTGTGGACATAGGCTATCTTGATTTCAGCAAGGCATTTGATACAGTTCCACATAATAATCAAATAGGAAAAAAGTTGTTCATGCAAGGACTTAAGTCTTTTACAATCCTTCAGTACCACATTGTCTGAATATTCAGTAAGTTATCTTGACTTGAAGAAGCTTTAGTGAAAGAAGAACAAATTCAATGTAAAAAAACAATTTTAGCAAAAATATTTTAGCAAAAATGTTTCCCCATGGAAGAAGTAGATAAATATCCAAAATCCCTTTTTCAAAAGTGAAAGTACAGGAGGAAGTGGTTGGCTACAATGTTAAACATGAAATGTATTGTGAGGCTGCTGGACTTATCAGTTTTGAATGGAAAAGTTTACCATTCAACTTTTCATGTAAGGAATTCTGCTCTGCAGTACTTTATGGAACACCCTTTAGAGCTTATAGGATATAATTCCACACAGTTATAAGTTAAAATCACGATTCCCTTTTGATATCATGTTGGTCAGAAGAAAAGCTAGCAGAAAAATATTTATTAACAATAACATCTAAATCCCAACCAAAGTCAAATTATATTTAGAACCATGTTTATTATTTTTAGCAAAGGGTTTTGCTAAAACCCAGTGACAGAAAAAGGATGAATTACATTCTCCATTTTAATAGATGATGTCTATAAAGTCTTTCTGCCACCTAAGCTGAAAGAGTATCCTGATGCACTAATGTGGTGCTTCAAGATCTCCCTCACTAGGTGAGTAAAGCAGACCTACCAGAGCCTTCTGCACTTCCTAAGAAGCGGCAATCGGTGGTTCATAAGACCAGATATGCAAGTCTGCAATGTTGTCATGTCCTCATACTTTAATTTGGCACTTTTGTAATAAACCTGCTTTCAAGCCAAAGCCAAGCTTTTCTCACAAGCAGTGGTTTCTCTCTTGGCATTATACTCTTATTTATTTTTTTCTAATCTGCTGTTCTGGAGGATAAACTAAGATATGAGATGGTAGGAATCCTCAAGGCTTGCAGTGTTTTCATTTGTGTTTGTATGGCCTTATTTCCTGTCTAAGAACTAATAGATGATTGTCAGGATAGGGGTCTTAAGCCTCTTAATCTACAAAGTTTATCACAGGAAAGTGGTTGTATGAAGTTGCTGTTGAGCAGGATACTTTGATAGAGCTATGAAATGAGGCAAACCCTTCATATCTACAAAACATGTTTCTATTAACTACACTATATTGCCAAAAGTATTGAGACACCCCTCCAAATCATTAGATTCCGGTATTCCAATCACCTCAATGGCCACAAGTGTTTCAAAATCAAGCACTTTGGCCTTTAGACTGTTTCTACAAACATTTGTGAAAAAATGGGTCGCTCTCAGGAGCTCAGTGAATTCAAGCGTGGTACTGTGATAGGTTGCCACCTGTGCAATCAGTCCATCCGTGAAATTTCCTTGCTACTAAATATTCCACCGTCAACTGTTAGTGGTATTTTAACAAAGTGGAAGCAAGTGGGAACAGTAGCAACTCGACCACAAAGTGGTAGGTCATGTAAAATGACAGAGCGGGATCAGCACAATAGCTAAAGAAGTGCACAGTGCGCAGAAGTCGTCAACTGCCTGCAGAGTCAATAGCTAGAGACCTCCAAACTTCATGTGGCCTTCAGATTAGCACAACAACCGTGCATAGAGAACTTCATGGAATGGGTTTCCATGGCCGACTAGCTGCATCAAAGCCTTACATCACCAAGCTCACTGCAAAGCGTCAGATGCAGTGGTGTAAAGCACGCCACCACTGGACGCTAGAGCAGTGGAGACATGTTCTCTGGAGTGACGAATCAAGCTTATCTGGCAATCCGATGGACGTGTCTGGGTTTGGCGGTTGCCAGGATAACAGTACTTGCCTGACTGCATTGTGCCAAGTGTAAAGTTTGGTGGAGGGAGGATTATGGTGTGGGGTTTTTTTTTTCAGGAGTTAGGCTTGGCCCCTTAGTTCCAGTGAAGGGAACACTTATGGCGTCAGCATACATTTTTGGACAATTTCATGCTCACAACTTTGAGGGAACAGTTTGGGGATGGCCCCTTCCTGTTCCAACATGACTGCGAACCAGTGCACAAAGTAAGGTCCATAAAGACATGGATAAGCGAGTTTGGGGTGGAGGAACTTGACTGGCCCGCACAGAGTCCTGACCTCAACCCGATAGAACACCTTTGTGATGAATTAGAGCTGAGACTGTGAGACAAGCCTTCTCGTTTGACATCACTGCCTGACCTCACAAATGTGCTTCTGGAAGAATGATCAAACACTCCCGTAGAGATACCCCTAAACCTTTTGGACAGCCTTCCCAGAAGAGTTGAAGCTGCTATAGCTGCAAAGGGTGGGCCAACTCAGTATTGAACCCTACGGACTAAGACTGGGATGCCATTAAAGTTCATGTGCATTTAAAGGCAGGCTTCCCAATACTTTTGGCAATATAGTGTTTATACAATATACAAAATGAACCAGTGTATACACGCCCAGACCCTCCAAAAGAACTAGTGTATTGTTTTGTTTGTATTAAAGATTGCCAAAAACCTTCTCAGCTTGGGTGTCCATAATAGCTATGCTATCACTGGCATACCTTTTAGAATACTTGACCATGCAAGTGGTACATACATTGATCATCAATACAATGAACAATAATATTCAGCGCTCATTCAATATAGAACAGAATGGCAACCAATGGCTAAAATTAGAAGGAACAGTTAGGATTGACTGTACAATGGATGTGGTGACTGTGGTCAAGGAGTCAATGTGTCCATAGGATGGGCAGAATGAGGAAGAAACGGACCAAGCAGACAAGGCACATGGGATGGAACCAGTAGCTCTTCATCAGGGATGAGGGAGATCCTGTGCAATGGATGTTGTGACTGTTGAAAAAACAGTCAGTGCGTCCTTAAGATGGGCAGAATGAGGAAGGAATGGACCAGAGGAACAAGGCACATGGGATAGGACATCCATCCCCTATGAAGCCGATTTTACAGCTGTAGGACACTTCCTTGCCAAAGAACCTAATTTCAATCGTAAACAAGCCCATCTTATCTTGGAAAGTGTAACATTTTGCCTAGAGCACAACTACTTCAAGTTCCAGGGTAGTTGCTACCTCCAGGTGCATGGCACTGTCATGGGTGCATCCTTTGCCCCATGTTATGCTAACCTCACCATGGGTTGGTGGGAGGAAACACACATCTGGAGAGAGAACCCCTTTGGAGAACACGTTCTATATTATGGCAGATACATTGATGATGTCCTAGTCATCTGGGATGGCCCTCTCACTTACATTACACCCTTCATTGGAATAGCAATAAGTTGGGCCTATCATTCATCCACGTAAACAGCCCTGAGTCACTTGTCTTTCTCGATCTAGAGTTGTCACATCGGGAATCAGATATTGTATCTAAAACACACTTTAAACCCTGTGCTGGCAACTCGTACCTACATTTTAAAAGTTGCCATCACCCCAGATAAAGAGTATCCCAAAGGGTCAGTTCTGCAGATTGCGCAAGAATTGTACCCAGGATATCGACTAAACTGAACAGGGACTAATTCTGACCAATAGATTTTTAGAAAAGGGATATGACCCAGACCTGGTGAATAAAGCCTATCAAACTTGCCGTCTCCCCCTACCCAAAACAACACACACACCCATTGACAGTTCCAGGGATGTTAAATTCATTACCCAATTCCATTATAAACATAGATAAATGGAGAACGTTATCCGACGCCATTAATGCATTTTACTTCAGGACCCTAAATTAGGTCCCATGCTGACAGATAAACCCAGGATCATTTTCAAAAAACCTCCTAGTGTAAAGAATAGAATTGCTCCCAACAGAATTGACACCCCCCATCCACTGGCCACTTTTTGCCACCTCACTGGTATGCATCGGTGCAAAAAAATTGAGGCGCAAGATGTGCAAATTTGTCACACATAGAGAAAAACACTCTAAAGGCAAAACATTCACAATTAAAAACTTTTACGCTTGCTCCACTGAGTATGTTGTCTATTGCCTATCTTGCCCTTGTGGGCTCCTGTATGTTGGCTGTAGCATTAGGACCGTTGGCATGATTTGACGAACACAGAAGGCTCATAGAGGATGGCAGTGAGGACCACAGTGTTCCCCGACAGTTTTTGTCCCAGCACAATAAGTCCACTGATGACCTCAAGGTCTGGGTTATCGAATCTATTCCCCCTGGTAAATCCCAGGCTGATAGATTCCAAAAACTTTACATCAGAGAAACATTCTGGATTTTTACCCTGAACACTTTATCACCTAAATGGCTTAAAGAAGATCTGGAAATCAATACCATCATATAATTACACTCAGTATCTAGCTCCAATATACTCTAGCGCACTTGCTCTCATAACATGCCCTCAATTTACATCTTTCTTATAATATGAACCGCCATATTCCTGTGTTAGCACTTTATTAGAGTAACTCATCCATTGAAGAAATAAATTTAGTTTTTCAATACACATTGACAATATACACTCTTTTCTACAAATTCATAGCAAGTTGTGGTTTTACACAAAAACTACAACATTATGTAGGTACAGGCTCATGGAGCCCCCACAGTTAGGGAATGAGTAAAACATCTGTATATATTTGTATAAACATTTCCATATTTATATTTATACACATTGAATTTATTATATATTAATCAGCATTTAATTTTATTCACTCATGGTGGATCCGATCATGTAGCTGCATTATTGTTTGTTATATTTTTTACTTTTTTACTCAATTTATTTATTTTTAGAATTTTTTATATTTCATTCATTTTTGATTTTTCTAAAATTGCCATTTTTAATCCGAATTTTTTCCTTGTTCCCACATCCTCGGCTTTACTCCCCTCTTCTTCTCCCACATCATGTTCTTTTTTTCCTTTTCTTTCCCCCCTTTCCCCTATTTTCACTTTTCTGTTTCCAAAAACTTTTTTTCAGTCTCAAGGACTGATAAACTATGGCCAACTTTCAGCTTTCCAGTCCCTCACACGTTCGCAATCACCCCTTCGTTTATTGCACACAGTCACTGCAGCGTTCCCTGCGCTTCCTCACTCCTCCCTTTTCCTCTCTCCATTGGCTGCCTGGGATTTGACAGCTCTTTTATACCCCTCTGTTGCATGGGCGGGTCTGCTTTACAAAGGGGGCGGGGCTTCTAAAATGCGTTGCAGCCCACCTGCCATTTACGGCATCTGTCACGGAACCTGTCAATCCCTCCACCGCCTGGCGGGACTTTTGAATGAATGCCGCCGACTCCACAAGCGGCTCCCTCCATGGTCATGCTGTCTACATCGATCCATCCATCAGAGTGAACTGCAGTCCTGCTCCTCTGTCTGCCTTCTTATTCTGCATGCCGAGTGAAGGACTTTTAGATGTAAGTCTTCTGTAATTAAGTTTACATGTTTTTTACTCACTCTGACTTGGCACCCTCTTTTCTCTTTTCCTTTGACCATGCAAGACCCACTTGTGAAAAATGTTTAACATAGGGGTAACTTTGGTGCTATTGACTGGTGACTGAAAAGATAGTATTGATGATGCACACCAATTTCATTCAAAGCCACTGTGCTGGGTTTTTTTTTCACAATCATAATTGAACGACGTGTGTTTATATAAAGTGCACAAAAATAGTCTACTGGACTTTTTATTTACTCACAAACATTATGGAAGGTCATTGTGAATCAGAATGATTTGATGATTTGTTACTAGCCAGTTTTTATACTTTTAGGCACAGTGCCAAGAGGTGAGAAAAAGAAAGGAGCTGGAACTTCAGATTCTGAATGAGGCTATTCGTGGCTGGGAAGGGGAAGACATCAAGACCCTAGGCACTGTTCTTTATATGTCACAAGTAATGATACAGTGTGCAGGAAGTGAGGTAACTATATTTGAGTCTGTTAAAAACCGTATCCACAGAACTTGGAGTTTCCATTTTTTGCTTTGCTGTCTTCTGGCTTAAGTATAACTAAAGGCAAAACATTTTTAAAGTTTTGGATAGAGTGGAGAGGGATTAGAACACCTATTAGGTTTTTATTAATGTCCCCATTAGGGAGATTCACCCTCTATATTTGTCCTGTTTACCATGATTATCCAAAGTGAAAGTAAAAAAACAAAACAAAAATAATTGGGTTGTCTCCAGAGAAGTAATAGAGGGCACTTTTTCCATTGGGGACATTAGTTCTGGTGACCTGGGGGTCCCCAAGGTATTTCCTTAATTTGCAGAGATTATCATTTCTTGTTTTGGAAGGGAAATCCCCCCCCAATGGGACACTGATGGCAAAAAAATAAACTGACTGGGGTTATAACCCTCCCTTACGCTATCCAAAATGAAAATTAAAACGCTTTGCCTGTAGTTATGCTTTGAGTTCTTTTGTAAACTAAACTGTATATTCATAGACTTTTAAGCTCAATTTAATTTATCTTAGCCTTATATTATATATGATTTTCTTAAAACATGGAATTTTAAAATGATAAAATACATAATATGTAAGCTGGTACTATGCATGTTCGCTGCATCAGCTGCTGGGAATATTACCAAGTTGGCACTACAATGTATAAAGTGGGAAGCATCTATTAGGAGAGTGCTGTATAGTGTTAACTGGAGTTGCCTTTTAAATGCTTTGTGTTTTTATGGTGTATTGTGCTTTGTTTTAGTTGTGGCATGGACTAGATTTTTCATACTCCCATCTGTTTATGCAAGAATGAAACATGCCACCTGTTGACAATCACATTTCATATATGACATATTGAGATTTGACATCCAGTACTCAGGAATTTATTATTCGGATGTGGACAAAAAGAAAACCGTAGTAGCTGGCAGCAAGCAAAGCCCTTTAAATTTGCAGGACTGTACAGTTGCAAGAAAAAGTATGTGAACCCCTTGGGATTACGTGGAGTTTTGCATGAATTGGGCATAAAATGTGCTCTGAACGTCATCTAAGTCACAACAATAGAAGAACACAGTCTGCTGAACATAATACTACACAAACATTAGATGTTGCCATGGTTTAACTGCACATAACATGTAAACATTCACAGTGCAGGGAGGAAAAAGTATATGAACCTTTGGACTTAATAACTGGTTGACCCTCCTTTGGCAGCAATAACCTCAACCAAACGTTTCCTGTAGTTGCAGATCAGACCTGCACAACGATCTGGAGTAATTTTGGACCACTCTTTTTCACAAAACTGTTTCAGTGTAGCAATATTCTTGGGATGTCTGGTGTGAATTGCTCTCTTAAGGTCATGCCACAGCATTTCAATCGGGTTGAGGTCAGGACTCTGACTGGGCCACTCCAGAAGGCGTATTCTGTGCTGTTGCAGCCATTGTTTTTTTGAATTACTTGTATGCTTTGGGTCATTGTCCTGTTGCATCACCCATCCTCTGCGGAGCTTCAGTTGGCGGACAGATGGTCATACGTTTTCCTGCAGAATGTCTTGATAAACTCTGGAATTCATTTTCCCTCAATGACAACAATCCGTCCAGGCCCTGAGGCAGCAAAGCAGCCCCAAACCATGATGCTCCCTCCGCCATGTTTTACAGTGGGGATGAGGTTTTGATGTTGTGGTGTGCTGTGCCTTTTTTTCTCCACACATAGTGTTGTGTGTTCTTCCCAAACAACTCAATCTTGGTTTCATCTGTCCACAGTATATTTTGCCAGTAGTGCTGTGGAACATCCAGGTGCTCTTTTGCAAACTTCAAACATGCTGCAATATTCTTTTTGGACAGCAATGGCTTCCTCCGTGGTGTCCTCCTCATGTACTCCATTCTTGTTTAATGTTTTCCTTATTGTAGATGTGTCAACAAAAATGTTAGCATGTGCCAGAGATTTCTGTAGGTCTTTAGCTGACACTCTGGGATTCTTCTTTACCTCATGCAGCATTCTGCGCTGTGCTCTTGCAGTCATTTTTACAGGACGACCGCACCTAGGGAGAGTAGCAACAGTGCTAAACTTTCTCCATTTGTAGACAGTCTGTCTTACCATGGACACATGAACATCAAGGCTTTTGGAGATACTTTTGTAACCCTTTCCAGCTTCATGCAAGTCAACAATTCTTGATCGTAGGTCTTCTGAGAGCTCTTTTCTGCGAGGCATGGTTCACATCAGACAGTGCTTCTTGAAACCAATAAACCCAAAACAGGTGTGTTTTTTAAGGGCAGGACAGCTGTCAGCAACACATCCAATATATTATCACACTGATTGGAGTCAAGGTTGGCTCACTCCTGGCTCCAATTAGCTCTGGGAGAAGTCATTAAGCTAGGGCTTCACATACTTTTTCCTCCCTGCACTGTGAATGTTTACATGTTATGTGCAATTAAACCATGGCAACATCTTATGTTTGTGTAGTAGTATGTTCAGCAGACTGTGTTCTTCTATTGTTGTGACTTAGATGACGTTCAGAGCACATTTTATGCCCAATTCATGCACAACTCCACGTAATCCCAAGGGGTTCACATACTTTTTCTTGCAACTGTATGTGAATTATTAGTATTGCCCTTTAGCATTTAGGTAAAATTATTCTGGCATTTAAACCCACAGGAATGTTCATGGTTGCTTGGTTTTTACCCAATTTATTCAATGCAGCTTCAGGTATTTCCTGTATCAGCAACAAACTATATGAGGTCCAGAGCACTCATATGTATTAAGATCTATTGGGATACCAAGTAACCACTTGGGTTGATATCACACAATACTTTCTGGGGTTATATAGAACTCTTCAATCAATGTGGTTTGCATTCATGTAAATGTAGTTTAAGAGATAATGTATTGAGTCACTTAAAGAAACCGTCATTTGCTGATTTGGCTGTGTATCTTAGTACTTGCCTATTTTGCTTCCCTGATTATTTATGTAACTAATGGTCCTTCATTTGGTACAGTTTTCCTTTAAAATTACCCCCCTTTCTCCAAAAAAAAAATTCCCATTTCTCTTCTCCCATGTCTTACACTTGCCTGTTTTGCTACTACAAGATCATATTTTTTCAGTCGACTCTTCCACTCGTGTGAGAATCTTCATTCCTATAAACGGGTTCATGTGTCCCAACAGGGGTGGCCTTTTTATATAGGAATGAATTGAGATTATTTTCCACATGTGCAGGAGAAGATCTCAGCCCAGAGACTTGGTGGCTTTTCATCTCCAAGCTGAATGTAAAATGACGATCTTAGAGAAATGGGAATTGAGGGGTTGCTGGAGGGAAAAATGGGTGGTTTTCTTTTTTAAGGATAACGTTAAGGGCTCATGTACATGGGGCATTTGGAAAACTCTTCTGACTGCTAGAAATCGTAGGTTAAAAAACATCAGTTTAGCCACGTTTGCATACCACGTTTATGCGTGTTTGCGTTTAGAAGCGTTTTTAAAAGATAACCTCAGGAGACCCTCCCAAATGCCCAGAAAGCACTGAAAAATAGTAAATAATTACTTTTCTCAGACATTTTGAGAGAAATAGAGCAGAAGCAGAGAGAGCAGTATGTGTTGAGATGACCTGTCTTTTTTGGTTGTATTCACTATGGATCCCATCATGAGCATAATGCAGCATGTTTTTACCATTTTGTTCCTTCACGCAAAACCTGGAACTGACTGCACTGGTGTACTAGATCCATTTGAATAGATGAAAAATGCTTTGCATGCATTTTTGATGAAGAAAAAAGGCTCTGGACAGTATCTGGTTATGGACCTGTCAAAAAACGCATCTAAATGCCAAATGCTTCTAAATGAGGTTAACCGCGTTTACAAGCATTTGGCGTTTTGAAACGCTGGTAAAATCTACTCCTGAACGCAATTTTGGTGCGTTCAAAAGAACACCTGTAAACTCAATTGCCTGTAAACGACTGTGTACATGGACACATAGGAAAACATAAAGGAGAGTTAATGGGCTGCTGAAAAACACGCCGAACAACTCCTGAACTTTAGTTTAGCAGCTGAAGTGTACATGAGAACTAAAAAAAAAAAAAAGATATCTTCAAGGAATTTTATGGAGTCATAGATTCCTAGTGGTGGAGGTAGAGGACCAGCAGCACAACACAGCAGGGAGTGTCAGGGTCACTTTTATTAGTTATGAAGTGCTTGCCTTCATAGTCTTAAGCTGACCATAATTGGATAGTTTTTCAAATGAAAATTCTTAAGAAAAGTCTTAAGAAAACTTGTCTGAAAATTCTCAGAACATTCTCAGAACTTTTGAATGTTGTTTGAAAATTTTTTTTCTGCTTTTAACATTTAATTTTGCAATGAATGGACTTTGCCAAATGAAAACACTGTTAGAAATTCTTCATTCAAGAACCCTTTTCCTTCTTGCTCCCCTTTGCATGTTCTTTATCACTGCGGTAAAAAACGACGAGTGTCAATTTGACCCATTAAGATTATTAAAAGGAACAAACTATTACAGAACTTTATTTTCCTTAGAATTTTAATTCAAAATGCTATCCGTCTGTGGCCAGTTTACTTTAATTTCTCCAGCATGATATCTAACAGTATGCCCTGCACTGGACAATGCAGAGATAAGCCATAGCTTACCACTTCTCCAGTTCTGTGGAGTATTTATCTAGAATTTTGTGGGCATAAAGTTGGTCTGCTTTGAAGAGAAAAGAAATCTCTTGAAATAACCACCTTCTGCCAATTAATGTGAGATATGTGTAAACATGTTTTAATATATTATGAAATGACCTGCTGTACTATTTTTGCCTCTTCAAGGAAAAGAATGAGCGGTATCTTCTACTCTTTCCTAATGTGTTGTTAATGCTGTCTGCAAGTCCAAGAATGAGCGGTTTTATCTATCAGGTATGTAGAGGTTTGGATTTCTGACCCCTACAGTTATTAAATGTAATACATTGATAATTCGAAGGCTTCAGTATAAATTATCAGTTTGGCTGCAAGGTTACTATTCAAGTATAATGCATTTGCAGCGTGTGTCTGTTCATAAGTGGTTTATTCAGAATAGTAATTTGAATGTCTTCAGATATGTGACTTGTGATATGATAAAATAATAAGAGTATAAACAGTCTTTACAGTAAGACTATGGAAGCAGACACATGTACGCAGAGACGTGTATGGACACGGGCCGACACGTGTACATACACACGCACATGCAGACACGTGTGCCTACACACACGCACACGCAGACACATGTAAATACACGCAGACACATGTAAATACACGCAGACACGTGTACACACACACGCAGACACATGTACGTACGTACATACATACGTGCACGCGCAAACACGTGCACGTGCAGACGCTTGTGCGTGCAGACGCGTGTAAGTACAGACACATGTACGTACACACGCAGACGCGTGTGCGTACACGTACGCACGCAGATGCCTGTACAAACATACAGACACGTATACAGCCCTATAAAAAGTTGCAGTTCACTACCATCCCTCACACATCCGGGTAGTGCACTCTCGGGGGATACAGAGAGCACAGCACACTCTCCCCCTACCTTTGCTTTCACTTTGCTTAGCGTATTCAGCAGTCTGGCTGAGTTCCCAGTGCCGTTGTACAGTGCTGTTTGGGATCAGGAGCTTGGGCTTATCTCACAGCCTTGCTCTACCATGATGCCACGGCACCCCTGAAGACCTCTGGTGGCACTCCAGTTGAGAGAAGCTGCCCTAGAGTGATGGAGCTGGCCAGGAGTCCTGTGCCCATTCAGTAAAACGGCCTTGTAGGACACACACATCCCCACGTTATTTCCACTCACCAAATGTGAGCAGGCGAGTGGAAATTTTGAGGCCTGGTTTTGGTGGGAAGGGGATACAAGTCAGGTCACCCTGCTTAAAGAGATCAAGAACTTCCTGTAATAAAGACTGGTCAGTTCTGGACAGGTGCAGAGTACAGGAGTTGTTTCATGCCAGAATTGTAGCACAAATCGAGAGGAAGTACAAAAGTGAAAAGTGAACATGTTTTTTTCCTGTGTGGGCAAGGTACTTGCTCACTTTAACGGTTGGTATAGAATGTTTGTTTTTTGGGGTTTTTTTGTGTGTGTGTAAATTTAGTTTTCTTCCCAACAGGGCAAACTTCCTCTAACGGGGACATGCATCACAAAGTTGGAAGATAATGAAAATCACAAGAATGCCTATGAAATTTCTGGTAACCTCTTCCTTTCATTATTTAACATGCCTTGCTTCTGTGTTGAGATAAAGATATTTTAAACTTTTTATCTATTCACTTTTTGGGATTCAGGTTTTAATAATGTTAATTGTGTTATTTTTCATTTATTTTGTTTTCTTTGCTGTACAGTTATGTAACAGAGTCAGAACAGCAAGAACTGAGGAATTTCCACATATAGTTTAACATATTCCCAGTCTTCTTGTTTGCTGTCTTTTGGCCTCTGTTTAATTCTGTGTACAGAAGTAAAAACTGTTAGCAAACCATACATTTTTGACATGTGGCCATGTAGGCCGCTTTGTTGCACTTTATTACAGCCCACATGGCCAGCACCTATTATGGTGTAATGTAAGTGAAATGACAATCTACTTTGCTACAACTAAAAACCATAAATGTTTTCTTTTTTATTTGTAGGTAACATGATTGAAAGGATAATTGTGTCATGTAATAACCAACAAGATCTACAGGAATGGGTGGACCATCTACATAAACAAACTAAATTTACCTCTATGACCAATCCCACAATAAAGCCTCATTCGGTGCCCTGTCATACAGTAAGAATCTTCTTTTACATTTCAGGAAGATTGCTGTATCTTTCACACATTTCATCCATGTTCAATATAATTGTGCAAAACAGCAATAATTGTGTTATCTTTTGCATGTTTAACAGTTCAAAATTGTATTTCTTGTTTGAATGTTGTTAATCTCTAATCCTGTACAAAAATATAATAATTACTGTATGTCAGTTATGGTAAGGACTAAAAATGTGTGTGTGTGTGTGTATATGTGTTATATATATATACTCTGTTTGGCAAATCCGATGGACGTGTCTGGGTTTGGCAGTTGCCAGGAGAAACGGTACTTGCCTGATTGCGTTGTGCCAAGTGTAAAGTTTGGTGGAGGGGGATTATGGTGTGGGATTGTTTTTCAGGGATTGGGCTTGGCCCCTTAGTTCCAATGAAGGGAACACTTAAGGCGTCAGCATACCAAGACATTTTAGATGATTTCATGCTCCCAACCAGGGGCGGACTGACAACTCATGGGACCCCCAGGCACTAGGGGATCATGGGGCCCTGTGTCCTTTCCCACACTCAAAGCACACCCAAAAAAGCCTATAAAAAGGTACCAGGGGAGTTTCATGGGGCCCCCTACTGACCCCGGGCCCTCGGCAGTGCACGAGTGTTCGAATGGTCAGTCCGCCCCTGTTCCCAACTTTTTTGGAACAGTTTGAGGATGGCCCCTTCCTGTTCCAACATGACTGCACACCAGTGCACAAAGCAATGTCCATAAAGACATGGATGAGTTTGGGGTGGAGGAACTTGACTAGCCTGCACCTAGCCTGTAGTCCTGACCTCAACCTTTGGGATTAACCACCTCCCGTCTGGCTGTTGTATATAAACGGCCGGATGGTGGCAGTGCAGGGTCGGTTGGCCATTTATAAACGGTCTCTCCCCGCACCCTGATTGTGCTTGCTCCCTGGGAGCACGCAGCACCACCGCGATCCGGTGCCCGCTGTGTCCTCCGGACACAGTGGAACACCGATCGTCAGACGGGACTTCTATGTGAGGTCCCGATCATGCGATCACTGATTGGCCAATCCGTGATCACATGCAGAGTAGTAAGCAAGATGTCACTTCTGACATCATTGCTTACTACGTGTGAAATCTATGAATGATCACAGAGGTCACATGGTACAAGGCTATTCAGAACAGCCTTGTACCATGTGACAAGCTGTGGCCAATCACCGCTCACACAGTATTTCTCAATGGCTGCAAGAATGCAGCCAGAGAGGAGGAGAAATGATTGCTTTTGCAGCCTTTATGGGTGTAAAAGCAATCAGTGTAAAAAAAAAAAAAAAAAATCTTCATCCAATCACCCCCCACAAGTAGTAAAGTGTCACCATGGTGACACTGTACAGGCTAGGGTGACAGTATGTAAAAAAAAAAAAGTAAAACAATTTTAAAAATGATCATTTTTGGGGTTATAAACTAATAATTTTTGGTTATAAACTAATTTGGGTTATTTTTTTTACTAAAAAGATAGACAGAAATAAATTTTGGCAAGAATTTTTGAAAATATTAAGATTTAACAAATAAATTTTGGCTTTTATTCATTCAAAGGGCAGATACACACTTTAATTGCAAAAAATTCACCATGTGTTGTCATGTAATTGTCAATCAAAGTGTTATAAGACAGAAAAATTTTTGGGATGGAAGTGTTAGACAAAACTGTGAGCAGGCCTTCTTGTCTGGACCTCATGCCTGACCTCAAAATTTGCTGTAAAACATTTTTTATTCAACACCCAATGCTGTATCATTTTTAGGGTTGATGTAGAGTACATAGCATAATTCTTAAAAAATAAAAATCCCATTTGGTGAATAAATAAAGATTACCAAAATAAAGCATTACGCAAATCTTCTCAAGAAAGCTAGATGACTGCTGAGGAACTAAAGCAAAAACTCCAGGCGTACCCCCTTCTGCATATGGGTAAACTAGTGATGAAAAGACCACCTTGTGTGATGGTAGAAATCATAGCTGATTGCCAAGGTACCCAGAATTCTCTTGTCATTTACAACAGCATAATGATCCCAAGCATAAATTCCCAGTCCATGAGCATGGTTTGCAGATGGAAAGGCTGAAACATTTGGCGTGGCCATCGCAGTCACCAACTTATAAGCCGATTGAGAACGCTCTGTCTCAAAAAATAATTTGCAGTGCGCAAGCCTAAGAATGTGACCTGAACTGGAGGCCTTTGTGAAGAATGGAAGATACCCGTAGATCGCTGGCAAGACACTGTGTGCAAGCTATGCTTCACGTTTAAAAGCTGAAAACTTGGATGCTGTATGTACTAAGTACAGGAAGGGGGTAATAAAACTGTAATCTGGACTGGAATTTGTGGTTAGAGCAGATGATAATGTGATGACCAGGCCTTCTTGTCTGACAGCAAGTGCCTGACCTCACAAATGCGCTTCTGGAAGAATGGTCAAGCATTTTGGCACCACAGATACACTCCTACAACCTTGTGGACAGTGTAAAGGCAGGCGTTCCAATACTTTTGACAAGATAGTGTATATTATAAAATTTAGAATTAAACCAAAATAAAACCATGAACTATGCTTCATAAGGTTTTTTTTCCTTTCTCCTGGAACAACTGTGGGTATAAGATTTGTATATACAGAGGTTTTGTATTGATTTATTATTTCTATTAGTTGAACTAGATAGACTTTTTTCTCAACCTAACCATGTAACAATGTAAAAGTGCTGTCAAAACATCAGAAATATATTTTCGGTACTGTATTTTGGTGTTTTACATTTTGTTTGAATGCATTTGTTTGAACAACTAAGTGATCTTTTTCTTTTGTTCATCCACTCTGTGCTAGCATCAACATTTCGCATTATTGTGTGTTAATCCACATGTAAAGGTTGCATTTACATATGTCTATTATAATAATAGGTCAAAACCTGGTGGTTAAAATTATTCAAGCTGTTCAATGCTGCTCATGCCCCTCCAGCGCAATGATTATGAGAAAATGTAATGCATGCATAGGCTTCTAAAAGGCCTAAGCACAAATAAAATATTGAAAATATGATATTTATATTTTAGTTTAGATGTTAACATATACAGTACATACAGTGATGGCCTGAATTTGGACTATATTATTATATCTTAATTATACAGCAGACCACAGGCATAGTATTTATAGATCCTTGGCTATAGGCTCGTACTTTATGTTGACTGGACACTGGCAAGGTTCTTGAGGATACTTCCCCCCCCCAGGGGGGAAGTATCCTCAAGGCCCCAGGCACCTCCCCTATGATGCTGCCTCACTCCCTAAATCCTCAGTTTTTATGTCTCAAGGTGATGGGCCTCTTCTCTTTTGGAAAGAAATCACTCTTCGCTTTATTACTTAATTTATTTTCCGATTCTTCATTCAGCTTCTCATGCATTCTCTGCGTTAAGGTAAAAAATCTTCTGCACACAGCTCCCCCAAACCCCAGTTATACTAACTGAGTCTTATCTTGATCCAGCGATGTACCCAAGAGCAGCAGCTGTCTCCCTCCACATTGGCTCAGAGATAGACTCAGGAAGGAGCCAGGAGTGCCGTTGGGGACCCAAAAAGAGCTGATCATAGAAGGATTGAAATTCATGTAGCAGGAGTTGGCCGAATTTTGATCAGTCTATGGGCAGGCTGGTTGTACTGAAGTTGATCCATCAATTGACTTCAGTACATCCAGCCTGTCAGGGTTTTTTTCTCCCAATCACTGCTGGCGGCTGTAGCCATCAGCAGTGATCATTGTATTTCTGTCAATGGGGAAGGCTCCCTGCATTCCCCGCCAGCAGAACCCAATAGTGTTGCTGGAGGGATTCTCTGACTGTGTTGATTAGGGAATCTAGCAATTTTTTTTTTCTTTCAACCTGTGGTTGAAGGAAAGAAAATTGGGTAATGTATGGCTTACCTAACTTGCTAGATCCTGTTGTCTTTGATCTGATAAGAAACCGGTATATAGACCTCTTGTCCTGATATTCCATTCACTTCTATATCAGATCTTACTCATGAAAAAAAAAAAGCCTATTATCGCCTACACATAAAGATCTGATATTGAAGGCCAACAACTGTTTCCTGGCCTCAACCCAGCCCTATTTTGGGTCATTACTCTAGGTCAGTGGTTCTCAACCTTTTTTCAGTCAAAGCACCCTTTAAAATTATGGACAGTCCTGAGTCACCCTTTAAAATTGTGGACAGTCTTGAGGCACCCCGTTCTAAAATGGGATGCCTCAAGACTGTTCACAATTTCAAAAGGGCACCCTAAAATGTGAAAAACTATTGTAATAGTTTTATATAATGCAGCAACACCCACACATGTAGGACACCTAACATTAGAGGTGATTTATTCTTCCAAAGCAAATACACTTTTGTACACTGGTACTGACTAGTATTCCTGTGTTACTCTTCTCCCTCAGTTTTTTTCCATCACTGAGCTAATGTAAACCCAGCACTAATGGAGAGGGGCAGGGGAGGGTCAAACTAGGATGCTGTGTAGGCAGCTGACATCCTCCTTATCCACTGATGATGTCATTGGTTATCAAGCCGGCGGCCAGAAGGTCGTAATGGTGCATAATGAAAACCTGTGGCTTTGTGTAACTAAAAGGCAGGCTTGTTCCACCCGCTGGCTTATATACAAGATATGGGCAATTTTTAGACCTTTTGCCAAGGCACCCCTGAAGAAACCTCAAGGCACCCCAGGGTGCCTGGGCACCATGATTGAGAAAGGCTGATCTATATTACAAAGATCTAGAATAGGTTGCAGAAAATCCTTCTTATTCCACTCTGGTTTTTTCAACTGAACACTAGGATTTTTTTGTCTACTTGTATACCCTTCCTCTCTTTGCAAGGACTCCTTCTGCCCTTATCTTACATATCTGGCACTACAGAGATTTATTACCATTCTGTTTCCCTTACTACAAACAGGGTTTTAGAGTTCCTTAAAGTGTTACTAAACTCACAATAGTAAAATCAGTCTGTATATGCAGTAAAGCATGCTTGTTATCCTCACTGTGGAACCTAAGGGGTTAATCCTTAATCATTGTGTAAAAAGGCTGTTTGATCCTTTCTTCTTTGCCCCTCCTCTTGTTCAAATGACCACCTGATACAGACTGAATCTGTGGTCACATGCTCAGTTTGGTGTGTATTGCTAGAGCGGTTTATTTTTTTTCTTGGGTGGGTGCATGTGATCAGCACAGGGCCAACCAGCACTGTCCAAACAGAGGGTCAGAGGTTTCACATCCTCCTAGAGCAGAAGGAAAACTCCTACAAGCTTTAACCAGTGCTCTGCTGAAGTCACTAGACTGCTCTAACTGCTGATGAGAAAAAGTATTTAGCAGTTTATATTTACTAAAATAATTGCATTTCCTTGTTCTGTGTACTGTGGGAGACCAGGTATAGTGAATGCAGGGTCCTGGGTTTAGTAGCACTTTAATTTGTTTTTTTTCCTTTAACTTTTACAAGGTAAACCATTTTCAGGCATACCCTCGGCATACTGTCAACTTTCTGCTTCCCTATTAAATAAGCAGAAACGCATATCCTCAGAGTGCATTCTGTAACCCAGTTTTTCTTTTTGCCCCAGATTTGAATCTTACATCTTGTTAGAGGACTGGGGCTACCCTGTCTTTTTTTTTTTTTTTTTTCTCTAGGTGTACATTCAAAAGGTTTTAAAACTGACCTTGCACAGAGTAGAGCCTTCAGCTTCAATTTTAATCCAATCTCCTTTTTACTATCTTGTTCGTGCTTGAAACCTCACTCTGCAATTTCTGTGCTAAGAGAACTCACTGATAACTTCTCAGTCAGTAGCTATGGTGAATCCCTCCTTCCATCCACCTCCTAGGCAGTCTTCACACCTTAGATGTTGCTGGCATCTGACACCCCCATAAGGGGAATTTTGTTTCCAATACCCTTGGGAACTATCCTACATGTATCCCTTATACAGGGGTTACACCCTTCCCATTCTTTAGGTAAAAGCTTTTTTTATCAGGGGTTCTTCTCAAGTACCACAAACTCAGCAATGGCCTAGAGGAATTCCCTGTTAGGTGGTTCTTAGTAACATTCTGTCTTCTTCCATCAACATCTACGCATGTAATCTCTCAGGAGCCTACTCTTCTTTCAATCATGTTAATCTGCCACTAAGGTGGACCTTATGCAGCAGCTTTGTGTTTCATTCTGGGGTGGTCCTTAATCATGTTTATATGGCCCGCTGTACATAAATATTTACATCCCAGGGTCTATGAATACTGTGCCTGTGTCTGGTACTATACAAGTATAGGAGGAATTTTGATTTGCCTTTAAATTCCATATTTTGGAGGACAGGACAAAACAGAGCCTCAGGGCATACCCCGGCTCGACATAGTACAACAAACACACAAAGAGAAAACCAATAAAGCACTCAACATCCTTACCAACTGAACAACCTCGACTAGGCAATTCCCTAGTGCGGTCAATGACTGTGGCAGTTATAGGATCTCAGAAGAAACATGTTAAATGGGGACATGTTATCAAGAGTTCCCAGCATAAGCAAACACTTTCACAATGGAGAAGTTTCAGAGGGTCATCAAACAACAATCTGGATACAGAGCAATATCCCTTCTCTCTTTTAGCATTAGCATTAACCATAGATGATGATTCCAGACAAAAACATTCCATATTTTATGGAACTTTTTTAGGCACCCCCTAGAAATATAGCTCATTTTATAAATTTCATATTTTAAGGCGTCCCTCCCTTCTCTCTTGTAGCATTAGCATTAACCATAGATGGTGATTCCAGACAAACATTCCATATTTTATGGAACATTTTCGGGCACCCCCTAGAAATATAGCTCATTTTATAAATTTCATATTTTAAGGCGTCCCTCCCTTCTCTCTTGTAGCATTAGCATTAACCATAGATGGTGATTCCAGACAAACATTCCATATTTTATGGAACATTTTCGGGCACCCCCTAGAAATATAGGTCATTTTATAAAGTGGTATAACCGAGGTAACTAGCACTTTCCAGCAATTCAGTGATGGGGGTTAATTAGCCTTCCATTTCAAGACTATAGCCTTCCTGGTATAAAATAACAGTAAACCAAGTAGTGTTCTAGTTGCCCTAGTGAACGCTAGGGCATTGACCAGACCAGTAAACACACATCCACTGTTTGGGGGACCTTAATAGTGGTCAGGGATTGGATGAAATTAATAACCTCCGACCAAAACTCACTATTATAAGGGCAGTGCCAAAAGATATGGGAGAAGTCTGCCGATGTGTCCCCCGTAATGCTGAATTTTTTTTTTTTTTTTTTTTACTTGTATGCTGGATTGTTATTAGTAAATCTTTAACGCGCACTTGTCATAAGCCTGGGCAGTTCGTCCTGATTGTAAAACAAAAATGCATAAGTACAGGTTACCTTTTGGGAAACTACATGAAAACAGTTTTATCAGTAAAAGCACTTGAAATTATATGTAAGTCTTGAACTTTGTATGTATAATTTTGAGGCTCTCCCATACTTTGCATATCCCCTCCCAGTTGGTAAGTGATGCCTCATATCCCAGTATATATCTCAGTAAAGGACCAACAGGAAGGCCCAGTAAATGTGAAGGCTCAGCTAGGCTATGAAATGGTCTCTTGCCTTTTTACAATCCTGTCTTGATGTATTCACTGACTCTTGAAATTTAGACATTGGAATTTTGCATATTTCTATTTTGTACTGCTAGCTATATTCAGACGTCTAATCGCTTGTTTTAATAATAGTTGTGTTTTGTATACAGCTTCCTTCTCACCCAGTTACCCCATCAAGCAAGCATTCAGACCTCAAGCCAGCACCTCACACACCCCGCGTATCACACATTGCCACACCTCTCACACCATGGAACGCCACACAGTACCATCAGCTGGAGCCCACTGGAACCACCAAAAACATCAAAGCCTTGGAGCTTAAGTTGCTTGCGTCCTGCCCCTCCACTCCGACCTTCTGCAGCACTCTGTTATAAAGAGGTAGGGAAACATGGGGGTGAAAAATTGTGTAATACACTTCAAGTTAATAAAAAAAAAAATGCCCAGGCTATAACTGCCAGGGTACTACAATACTCTGTTAATGTGCACCACAGTTGTGAGTGTATCAAATGGCTTTAGTCTGGTCTCCACCCATGGGAGAACACCCCACTAACATGTTTCACCTTATTAAGGACTTATTTGTAGAGGCGCACATAGCCATTAAGAAACAAATGTCACTCTAAAGTGCTTTGTTTAAAAGTGTCAAAAGTAAATAAAAGGGTTAAAATAACTCTTGACTGTGGTGCACATTAACAGAGTGCAGAGGTGCTCCATCTTGCTGTGGACCACCGATCAGACTTCATGAGCCTTACTAGCTGAACCAGCTGGTGGTAGCAGCAATTGAACCAGCCAGAGGAACATACTGGGGCATGTGAGTGGTGCTTTTCTTTTGTGGTTGATGCCAGGGTCCTACCCACATAGTTAGATTTTCTTTAACTATACGGACAGCAACTGTCATTGACTTTTGTTTTGATTGATAAATTGTTTAAACAAATTATTGCTGCTGTCCAAAGTTTTGAGTAATAACTTCAAAACCATTAATTGGTACAAGTTTGTGGATCCCTCTATTCTTTTTATTTTTTATTTATTTTTATCGTATGTTTTTACTACATTGGTATTACATAGAAGCTACTATTCTGCGAAGTTGTTTGGTATAAGCAATAAAGACACTTTTCTTAAATTTCTATAAGAGGATTAAAGTAGTTAAATTGAAGTTCTTGGCAGACGACTAAAAAACGTAGTTGAAATACATAATTGCAAACTGTTTTGCCTGTCAGATGACCTATAATTTTTTTCTGTCAGTCTTGTTAGTTGCACAGTATCTTCCACACAGCATGGTTGTATGAATGTAACAAAATAGTTTTTCTGTTTTCAGTATCTACCTAGATGACCTTCCCCTTGCTACCTGCAGTAGCTTAGGAGTGTAAAGATGCTCGATTATTATCTAATGAAACAGATATTGCATAGTGGAAATAGCTGTGACATCTAACTGGGTACACAGTGCAGCCAGTGTTTATGAATCACAAGACAGATGGAATTTTTTGATTCCTTGCTTTATGCAGTTTAAACATGTAGTTAGCAACGCTGTGGAATTTTTATTGCTGTCTGTGCCTTCACTGGGGAGATTCATCCTCTCTATTTGTCCTAGTAACCATTTTTGTTGTCACATGAACATGCATAGAGCAAATGTCTTCTAATGGGAACATTTTTGCAGGGACAGCTAAAGCCGATATACATGGGCTGAAAATCAGCCCGCTCAGCAGGAACCAGGATGAATTTCGGTTCATGTGTACAGCTGTCAGTTCAACCGAAGCCGATCAAAAGATCGGCTTCTGTAGAACAGACATGCAGGAAAGCTGGCACTCGATTAGCACTTGCAGCCAATGGCTGCAAGCTCTGATCAGTGCATTCTGGCGGGGGGTTTTTTTTTCTCAACCTGCTCGTTGAACTAAAAAATAGTTCAAGTGTGTATCCAGCATAAGAGATGATTTCCTCTCTTTTGAAGAGGTTTCCTTTCACATCCGGATGTATCTGTGGGACATAAAGTGAAGGGATATGTCCCTAATGGAGCACAGATGGCAATATAAAAAAAAATTTAACCCTTACCTACATTAATATAAACTGTAGATATACTTTGTTTTGAATGGAATCTATGTTCTAAATGAAGATGTAAATTTAGTAGCTGCCAGCCAACTTGTTCATTGCTTTGTTTTTGCTTCTTTGTTTCCCTCTGTATTAGAGGATGTCTTGTATTCTTAAGGTAAGGGGTAGACCTACCTTTGTCCCTTTTGGAATGGCATGTTATGCTGTAGAGCATATCTTCTGCACATCGTGGCTATATCACTTTTGATAGAGGTCTCCTCCATGTTGAAAAAGACCACTTGTTTTCCAAAAATGGTAAACAAAAGGTGTCAAGACCCCTTCCTAATAAAGATCCTCACTCCACATATTTTCCTGTCTTTGTTCCTTAATAGTTGAATTTAATTGATTTGTCCCTAACACACTACCTTTGTTCTCATCTGTCGCTTGCAGTGTTCACTTAACCCAAGTAAGCATGAGACTGCCTTAGCATAGCTGACCTATTGTAGCATACTTGTTAACACATTTATTGTTAATCACAAGTAACATTTGCAGTGTTTTTTCTATTAAATATATACTCGATATATACTTATATGCACTTGGAAAAATGGAGCAGAAATGAAAAATCAATATATACCACCATCCACAGTACCATTGAGCAACCTGTTAGTCTGTGTGTACCTAGATATCTAAATACTGATAAGCAGGCCTCGTGAGAATTTGTAAATGATAAACTTGTTTTTCTTGTACACAAAGGTGTTTGAAATAGCTTTGTTTTTTCAACAGGATCTCAGTAAAAGTCCCAAAACAATGAAAAAATTACTTCCCAAGCGCAAGCCCGAAAGGAAACCATCTGATGAAGAATTTGCATTGAGAAAGAGTAAGTTTTTAAATTGGCCACTGAAAAGAACTCTTTGCTATATGATTTATGCTTCATGTGAATGACCATCTCGATCTGTTTACTTTTGTTAACCTGTACAGGTACCTTTTCCCCCTTTTTTTTTTTTTTTTTTTTTTCCCTTACTGTTTCCGTGTAAAGTAGAAAGCTATACATTTTATTCAAAGGTAGCGCAAAAAGTTTTTGGAAAATGAAAATGTATTTTTTTACACAAAGTTGTCCGTTAATAAGATATGTCTAATACACATCATAAGCATATTTAGAGATCTTTTTTTACACAGATTAGGCAGGATTGGTAGGAGGAGGGGGAAGGGAACATTTTTAAGAATAGTTATAGTCAGACTTTTCTTTCACTTTAATATTCAGAATGAGTGCTTTCTCAGTGCACCCAGCAAATCACCCTTTGGCTCAAATGTTGGCCTGAAGATCATCCATGCAAGGAATTTATTTCCTTTTGAAGGGGAATATCTCAAAAAGTTTATCAAGGATGTCATTATTAGAGCACCCTTTTGCACCACCAAGAAATGCCAAACATTCAATTGATAAGAGTCCCTTTTGTTTCTTTCAAGTCTGCAAGTCCACGGTAGAGCCTGAAGTTCAGTTCCTCTGCAAGTCTGGACATACAAGTTTTCTAAGTCCCGCTTGTTAAAGTGGAGGAACATCTGTTGGTCTTTGCAGCCATTTAACCACAGGACATTTCAGACATTTAGGCCCAGAATGTTATATCCAGAAGCCACAAACTCAAATTTTGGTCTCTGCCTCCACCCTGCTTCATGTTCAACTTGCTAAGAAAAATTAGCCGACCTTCACACTGCTCTGGTTCAGCTGCTCCCTCAAGGTATCAAGGGTATTGTCCTGGAAAAGGAGACATTGTACGGTTTCTATTCAAACCTGGACGCTGCTCCTAAGGGAAAAGGGGGCACTGCTCCACACTGGATCTGATTCTGTATAGAATTGTCCAGGTTGACCATTGCTTCCCTTCATACCGGAGACCTTCTCCACCTTTCCTGTGCATCAACACTACCTGGATTTTGCTGTGGGCACACAACATTGTAAATTAGTGTCCTTTCCTTTTGGCCCCTGAACTGAATCTCAGGTCTTCAATGAGTTGCTAGTCCTGTTCATGTTCTGCTTTGCTCCCAGGGCATCCCCATAGTGGGATATCTGGATGACCTTCTAACAGAACAATTATTTCTAAAATTTCTCTTGGTGCAAGGCAAGGAAATTCCATCCCAAGAAGTTCTCCATTAGACTATCACTTTCTTTCTCAAGTCTGGTCTGGATCAGTGGTCGACCTTGAAGTACCATCAAGGGTCAAATTTCAGTGGTTGGTGGTTGATGCTTTTAAATGCTCTTAGTTTGTCTCTTAGACCTAATCCACAACTTGTGCTCCTGAAAATCATAGGGGACACAGAGGCTATTCCTATTTCATGCATTTTACTATGCTCGCAGGGAAATTCTTGTGCAATGGAAACCGTCCACTCCACCCACAGTGGCTAGCTGGTAATCTGCCGTACATGCGGTCTTACTGCTTGACAGTTGACATATGAAAGTCGGACTAGCCCTAAAAAGTTAGACAAAGTGTGGTCAGCCTGGACTGATGCATATGAGTCGGATGTTTCTGATGGTTAGTAATATATGTTGTGTAAACTCTGTTTCTGTGCTGATTTTACTTCTCTGACCCCCCCCCCCCCCCCCCGTTTTTTCATGTTCTTATCTTTTCCCCCCTTACTTCTTTTCCCCCTCCCTGGCTCCTTGTTTTGGAGGCTTTTTTGTTCCCTCTCTCTGTTTACCTGTTTCCATACTTTTCCTTCTTGTTTCCCCTTTGTCCCTTTGTTTTGCCTTCCCCACCCACCTCCTCTTTCCTCCCATGCCCCCCCCTCCCCCTTTTTTGTTTGCAGGATCTCCTTAATATGTGCAGGTTATCCTTAATTTTTAGCATTTTTTAATGCAGAGGGCGAATCTATATTTTGACACAACTGGCTGGCTAAGGTGTCAGCTCGGCTTGTTTAGTGTTGTCTTCAGCATCTCCAGAGCCAGCTCAGCCATATTGTTCCTTTTTTTTTAATTCTGCATGTATATACCTACTTTTGTTTGTCTCTGAGGGTCCTATGACCCTGCTGTATCTAAAAACTAAGCTTGCTGGAAGTGGAAGGGGTTATATTGGGTTATCATTTTTTTTTTTTTTTTTTTTTTTTGCTTACCAGTATCCAATCTTCTGAAGAAAAGCCACATAATACAAAGTACCTAAATACTTATCCTGTGTCCTGTAATCTAAAGAAAAAGGCAGTATGGCCTATTTTACTGTTATGTAGTCTGCAGAGAAATCCAGGAACTGGATGCACTTCATGCAAGGGGTGCCTAGACCACAAGACTGGCAAAACATAACAAATCCTCTGGTGGCTAAAACTGTTCACATACTGTGCTGTGAAAATGTATTCGCCCCCCTCCTGATTTTTTTTTTTTTGTGTGTGTTTTTTTCCATATTAGTCACACTTAAATGATTCAGATCATCAAACATATATTAAGATTACAAAAAGATAATTTGAGTAAATACAAAATGCAGTTTTTAAATGATGATTTCATTTATTAAAGGAAAAAAGCTGTCAAAACCTTCCTGGCCCTATGTGAAAAAGTAATTCACCCTTTGTTGCTTAACCCAAGTGCGCTTGACGGCCAGACATTCTCCTTCACGATTTTCTGGTGGAGCACAGACTTCATGGTTCCATCAATTATGGCAAGTCATCCAGGTCCTGAAGCTGCAAAGCAGCCCCAGAGCATCATACTACCACCACCCATGTTTGACTGTTGGTATGATGTTCTTCTTCTGAAAAGCTGTGATAATTTTAATCCAGATGTAACGGGACACACATTTTCCAAAAGGTTCAACTTTGTTATCAGATTTCTCGGATTATCTTTTGTGTACTAAAATTTTTTTGATGATCTGAATCATTTAAGTGTGACAAATGTGAAAAAAAAAATCAAGGGGACAAATACGTTTTTTCACAGCACTCTATATTAATTTAAAGAACTACTATAGGCAAAACTTTTCTTTTTATTTTGGATAGAACAGGGAATGTTACAACCCCTGTCAGATCTTTCGCCATCTGTGTCCCATTGCGGAGATTTCCTTTCAATTTCTGTCCTATAACCAAACAGGAAGTAAGAGGAAATCCTTGTAAATTAGGGAATTCACTGGGGACCCTCAGGTTACCAGAACTAGTGTCCCCATTGGAAGATTTCCCATATTACTTTACTGGAGACAACCAAAAACTTGGGACTTTCTACTACTTTTAATTTCACTTTCAATAATAATGGTAAACAGGAAAAATAGAGGGGGTGAATCTCCTTAATTGGGGCACAGACAGCAATAAAAACTGACAGGTGTTCTAATCCCTCTCCACTCTATCCAAAACTAAAAAAAAAAAAGGCCTTTAGTTAGTTATGCTTTAAGTTGTGTATTTATTTGTTTGTCTGGAATTTCTTTGATGCAGAAAACCATTTCAAAGCCCTCAAGTGGTACTTAGAAAAGTGTTTGCCAGACAAAGAGCCCATCTGGAAAATTAATATAAGCTTTACTAAAAATGCATTCTTAATTTGTGTTTTTCAGGCACAGCAGCACTAGAGGAAGATGCCCAGATATTGAAGGTTATTGAAGCCTATTGTACAAGTGCCAAAACACGTCAAACTTTAAATTCCAGTAAGTGCATGTTTGTTTCTATCACTTTGCTTCTCTAGCTTGTGCGACTGTATTGCCATTTTGTCTTTTGGTGTTAATACACATTGCATGCAAAGATATAGACACCATGTGTTAAAATTGAAACGTCAAAGAAGATGTTGATAATCTTAAAATAAAAAAAAAAGTACTGCTCCTTGATATCGAGTATTTCATGGAGTACATTTTTTTCTCACTTTGTGTATCAGAGCAGCAGCTGAGGTGAGCCTTCCACATCTTGCTTTACCTGTCATGCCAGGTATTTTGAAATCTTTGTTTTTTAAGGGTTTTTTTTTCCAGCATTTTAGTTTATCATTTTTAACCTGGTTACATGCCAGCATCCACAGCATATTTTAGGAGCAGTGTTTTACATGTCAGTCGCTGACTGTCCAAAAGCATTACATAAATTCTAGTTTAACCTGCTATGTTATATTATGACTATTGATCATTGTGCATTCAGGTACCATATATGGGCTGAGAGGATGTGTTCAATACACAGAGCATATTAAAATTTTAAGCATGTATTTTCTATCATGCTGGTTCTGGTGTAGCTACAAATCATACAAATGTTAATGACTTAAAGTAAAGAAAAGTGAATTATATCTTTCAACAAATGCTGAAGGTAAGGTCATGCTGAAACTTAGCCCCCTACTGACAAGATACAGGTTGCCTGAAGTTTTTTGTTTTGTTTTTTTTTTCTTTTGAAGCTTATAAAATGGTGTAAGCTTGTTACTTAAATGTATATTTAATCTGCATAGTACTATGTTCAAAGACTCAGTGGCAAGTGTTTTAAATACATCTGTTTATTTCTTATGGCTGGTAGGATGGAAGTGTTTGTTTTTCAGTACTGTTTTGCAGCAGGTAAGCAGAGACGTCTGTGTTGTGACACTGTTAAGGGAACGCAACTACTACACAAGTTTTTCATGACGGCAGTATACAGTGCTGTCTTTTATGTTACTACTACTCTTTGATCTGCTTAAATATCATTCCCTAAAACCGCTTTTTTCCATGTGCTTTGCAGATACTGTTTTAAGTTCAACAAATAATTGTAGCAACCACAGTACAAAAAAAAAAATCACATTTAATTCAAGCTTTTCCATTATGCTTTTACCCTTCATGTCTTACACCTTTTGACCTTGCTCCTTGATGGCTGCGATATGTCTTTTCAACCCGTTATACCTGTTTCTCGTGCCATCTTAGAATAGTCTTGTCAAAAACATTCACTTTAGATCAAATTAACTTCCACACATTTTCTCAGACTCATAATTCCTAAGTAAAAAATTTTTAATAGTGGCAGCTGGGGGAAAGATATGAATCAAGTACAGCAATCAGTTTATTGCCTACAGTTGAGGAAGACATTTATGGTCCTCGACAACATTAGTAACATTAGAGCCATAAGAATAAGCAACTTTTTTTTTTTTGCAAATGTATATTTCAGTGTGGGAAGGTGGGCCAAAAAATTATAGAGCCTTTAGAGTTCCAGTATTTTCTCATTATAATGTTAGTGGTTGGTGCAATATTACGTTGATTCCGCATGTTCTTACACATAGCGGCTAGATATGTAAACTTCCTCATTTATTTGTGCAGTTTATTTTACCAATCATTTACATATAAATATTTTTGTCTGTATTTATTGAGAAAAATGGAATTGTATGCAATCCTATAAAACATATGCTGGTGGTACTGTGCGTAAGTGATTGGTACACGGTCTTTCTCTTTTAACTGTCTATAAATATTAATACTCTGGCTAACAGGATTACGTACCTCAAAGTGAAAGAAAGCCCTACCTCACTCACAATAAATTTCTATAAAAGTTTTTCTTCGCCATTTCTTCTAGAATATATGCTTGTTTCATTGCACTTTGTCGCTCTTAATCTATCATACTGCTAAAGAACCATTAGACGCTTAATTATGGGCAGAAACCCCTAGACTAGGCATGATCCTGTTCCCAGAATGCATTTCCGAGCTACAGTTGCTGCAAGTTCACAAAATGCATTCACATGCCAAAGTAGTTTATATTTACTCCTGCTGGCACTGTCTTATCTCATGAACAAGTAACTAATGAAATCTGCAAAGCTTTGTTCTCCTTTTTTTAACAATATTTTCTTTTTTTCCCTCTCTTCCCATCACCCTCCTTTTTGCTTTTTGTTTTGTTTCATGTTACTGTTTTGGTTGTGGCTTTTTTCCTGTCCTGTTCTATTCCTTTTTTGTTCTTTCCTTCCATCTTTGCCTCCCCACCGTTGCCATTTCATTTCACCCATACATCATCCTTAGCATGGCAAGGCACTGACCTGATGCATAATCACGTCTTGGCTGATGATGACCAATCAAGTCTAGACTCCTTGGGTCGTCGCAGTAGTCTTTCTCGTTTGGAGCCTTCAGACCTCTCCGAAGACTCTGACTATGACAGTATATGGACAGCCCATAGTTACAGAATGGGGTCTACTTCTCGTAAGAGCTGTTGCTCATATATCTCTCACCAGAACTAATGCACTTCTAAACTCTTTTCTTAACAAAATGCTTGTTATACCACAACCTACTTTTTCTTAGATGTTTACTTGTGTTTTCTGTCTCCTTTAATGTGATTGTTTAAAAAACTGAGATCATTTCTGGTTCTTTGTATGTGTGGATCCAGGTTCCTTTTTCCAGTCGAACAAAAATAATCTATATATATCTGTCCATGAAGGTAAAGTGTACATTGGAAATATACCTCACACTCTTATAATGCTTTCAGTGAGTTCCTAGGTTTATGTAAGAGAGCGTGAGGATTTTTTTTTTTACACACGGCAGATTAAGTATTCTGTCTTTTGATGTTTCTTTTTAAGTGATAATTTTTCTGTGCATTTTTGTAATTTAACGAAACTGAAAAACATACAGGTTTGTGAGGACTTTTTTGTGAATATATAATTTTGTATAGAAATAATTCATAAATCATTAGTTATGAAGAAAAGATTGTTGTATGGGAGAACCCCTGCTGCTCACCTCCTGTGACTGGTATTGGGCAGCGTTTGCACGGCTATGTGTTGAAAACAATTCGGCACAAGTACTTTGGGTGTACATATACTCTTCAGGTGGCACATAGAAACAACTTATGTCATGTCACATTGCTGCTGCCAAAATTTCTAAATTTTTGTTTTTCTGTTTTTTATTTGGAAATGGATGTATATTATCTTGCAGTATTTAAATTATTTTCATATATTAAGGACTATGTGTAAAAACATTTCAGTATGAAATTAAGGGCCTTCATTCCTCATAGCTGCAAGGAAAAAGTGTGCTGTGAAGTGGAGATTGAATTAAAAAAGGAGGGCGGCCAGAGATAATACCAATCTGTTTCCTCCAACCCCCTCCTGAATGGTGAACACTCGACTCCCCACACAAGTCTCATTCCATTTTCTTCTGACATGTTTTGCAGGAAATTTATATAGAATAGGAGGGATTTTTTATTTCTCCTTTGTAGTGGAAACTACTGTATTAGCTTTACAAATTACATTAAGGAGAGGGAAAACATTTTTGCAGCCCTGTCTGCACATTCTGTGAAATTGGTGGAAAATTCTCAACTTGTCTTGTGGGACAGGTATGACCCTTAGGCTAGGTATTGATTTTATTGTCACTGTTTACACATTTAGGTTTTGCTAAACAAATCTTCATATGGGAAATCTGCAAGGGCTTAGAATAGATGTTCTTTTAATGTTATAGCATCTTTTGCCTCTCCTCCAGTTCTTCAGCTAAGATAAAAGGAGAACCGAGCTGAAAACATTGGTGAACACAAGCCATTAATGCAGTATTTTTATTCATTAAACCCTTACACAGCAGCCCATTTGTTCAACATCTTAGGTGATTGCTGACATTTCATGAGTTCTATAAAAGCTGACATTTTCTGGGACGCATTGCAGGGGACATTCCTTCGGTTGCACTGGATATAATTTTGATACCCCATGCAGTGCTTGTCCTGCCAGTCAATTTATGGTTTATTCACATATAATAGGGCCTGTGTTGACAGGCTTTGAGCTTGTGTGGATGGCATCCATTTGTGATGTTCATGGGATCATTCAGAATTCATTCAAAGGTGCATTTAATCTGCAGTTTGATCTCCTTCAGACCTTCATTTAACCTGCTTTGAAGTTAATGTAAAACCTATTAAAGAATAGCCCATCAACACAAGCCCATACACACAGGAGCTTGAAGAATCACCAAGCATTTAGTGTGAATAGTACAATTGTTTGCTTTAGCCCATGGTTAGAAACCACTTGAAATGGCATGTAGCTAAGGGAAAATACTGAATCAGGTTCAGTAGAAGTAAGCCCATTTCTTAATCATACATTACAGGACAAAGATCCTTATAGGTTATATACAGCTTCTTTAGGATGGTTGGACTCTGGCAAAAAGAGCCACAGGTACATCCCATATTTAACCTCTGCCACTCTCAGGTAACCCTAGTTTTTTTTTGCTTGTGTCTTTAGGTTATGGTAAAGTGTTTACTGAGAGAAGCTGATCTCTTTTATGTGGATGTTTTTGCTCTTATAGATTCTTCTTTCAAGATTCCTGGCTACACCATAGCCACTGTGATTTTTTTCTGCAGCTTCCGGATTGGTTGACTTCTTGGCTGAGCCTTGGGGCACCGTACCCAGTCCTTGCCTAGAACAGATGCAGGGCCAACCTGCAGTGTAACTTTAGGCACTGAATCCTATTATTGGCAGGCCAGCAAGCAACCTGCAGTTGTCAGACCTTAGCTGTCTGGTGTGTAAATACGTTGCCGAGACCATCTTCTAGTCTGTTCGTTCACCACCTTCTGGAGCTTTTTACCTGTGGTCTTATGCTACTGCTTGAATACCTTAGCAGATACTCTTTGCTAGATTTCCAGTATGCTCATTCTGTTTGTTGATATCTGTTGATTCAAATGCTGGTCAGTTGAATTCATGTGCAAAAAAAAAAAACATTGAGTGGCTACACTTCAATAGATAACACCTGCTTGGTCTCTCCTTTGACAAGTGCATCAAGGCAATCTGGGAAATGGGGATTCATTGTCCTAGTCCTGAACAAAGTTTGCTTTTAGTGGTTTTACTCTAACCTTTTCAGTTCCCAAGGCAAATGGAGGCATTTGGCCCATTGCCCATTATAGAAAAACTCTCAGCCTGTTCTTTGAGGGTTCAAAAGTCCTGTGGGGAATTGGCCAGGTCATTTTCCTCCTTTTTGGGTGATGTACAGGCCTAATTGGACTTCTGGGATGCTTGTTTGTGCATTCCCGTGTTTCCTTTTCACTAATGCTAACTGCATTTTAACATAGGATCTCAGTATTACCAATTTGTCACCCTTTATACTGGCCTGCCTATGCCCCCACCAAGGTGCTTGGCCAGGTCCTAGCTCTGCTCAGTTCCTAGGGGATACATGCTATTGGTTACCACTTGGTTGATCTCCTGCTAAAGGTCCAGTCCTTCTTAACCCTTCCAGCCAATGTCAAACAGACAGGGCAGACTCTGCAGATTTTCAGTTGGATCCTCAGTCGTTGGAAGTTGTTGCTGGAACAAACTCACAGATTAGGGTACCTTGGCCGTACATTGGGTATGGCCCTGTCCAGGATCTCTCTGCCCCAGGACAAACTTTTGTCCTTCCAATCACTTGCCCATGCCCTTCTGTCCAATGGTTGGCCCTATATTTTAACCTGCCCTCTCAGTGCCCAAATATCCATCATCATCCTGAAACTCTGGGCAATACAGTTGTTGCTTCAGTGCTGCACTTTACAGTTGCTAGGTCTCCCTACAAGAACCTAGTCTGACAGTGCCACAATTGTGGCCTACATCAGCTGTCATGGAGGCAACAGAAATTGTGCTGGGCAGATTGGCATGTTCTGACTTTGTCTGTTATCCACATCCCAGGTGCGGAAAATTGACAGGTTGTCTTTCTCAGTTGTCAGCATCTGGATACAGGGTAATGGTCTCACCACCCAGAGGTGTAAAGCTCCTTTCCAAAGGTGGATGATGACATACATTGATTTCTGGTGTTCAGATTCCACAACGCATTAGTCAGGTTTGTTGCCAGGTCAAGGATCCTCAGGCCTTTGAGTAGAACACTGATCTACGCCTTTCTGCCTCTCCAGATTCTCATTGTTTTGCTCTGCAGTATCAAAATTGGAGGCATTGCATTGATTCTGATTACACTGAACTAATCTAGGGGAATGAGGTACTTAGACTCCTGCCAGACTCTCCATTGGCCCTTCTGGATCATGCAGACATTCTGTCCCCCAGGGGCTGATCCTCCATGCTGCTTTTCCAGTCACTGGCTTCAACAGCATGGCTTTCGAAGCCCAAGTCCCTAAGGGTTGTTGGTTAATCGGATTCAGTCATAACTGCCCTTCAGTCAACTTCTTACAAAGTATAATATTGCACATTGAAGACCTCTTTTGCATGGTGTGAGACCAGGTGATTTCATCCTAGGAAATACTCCATGCACCGACTTTTGTTCTTTCAGTCTGGTCTGGATCAACATCTGGCCTAGAGTACCATGAAGGGGGCAAACTTTACTCATAACAATTGATAAAAAATAATGTTCTTTAGCAAGGGACATATATTCCCTATTAATAATTATGCAAAATTAGTGTGTGCTGTAAATTGCCTCCAGCATTGTTCCTGTTTCTTTTTGCTGGAGGCTGCCTTTTTGTTGAAGCCCTCTGCCCTGAGCAGCAGTTAAAGCAGAACTAAACCCTCCTATCCTTTTTAGCAAAGGAAGCTGCCATCTGTTTGATCTGCAACTGCCATGGTGCAGCACATATGATCAGTTATAACACCAGCCATTTGATGGTCTGCGAGTCTGGTTGAGAACACAAGCAAATGTGACAGTTGGCATTCCTGGCATGCTGGGAATGTAACAGTCTTTTGAAACTGTTAAATTGATTAGATTCACTTTAATCTATAGACTGTCAGTAGATCTACAAATTCAGCAATGCCCAAAAATGTCTAAAAAAAAAAAAAAATGGAGAGCAACTGAGCAGGATGAGACCGTGTATAACTGGATTTTAAACCATATAGGCACTTATTTTTAATGTTTTACATAGCTATACCTCCAAAAGGGACCAGCCTGAAGTGATTTAGCAACACTTAATTTTCTGACTAAAGTATCACTTTAAGGCCTCTGTCCATGGTTCTTTCAGCCCTTCAGAAGCCTCCCTTCGAACTTATATGGAATGTTCTCTTATCTAACCACATTTACAAGATGGCCCTTCTTGTTATGAACACCTCTGTGTGGTGGGTCTCTGTGTCAACAGCCATGTCCTGTAAAGAGTCCTTTCTGGTGCTACACAAGGATAAGGTTGTCCTGAGATCTAGAGCTTCTTTTCTCCTTATGAGATTTTCCATTTTTTCACCTTAACCAGAGCATTGTTCTTCCACCTGAAACAGACCAAAAAAGTTTATCTTCACTGCACGGTACATGCTGTAACAGTGTACTTCTTGGTTACA